TCGGTTAGGACATCACACATAAGCATATTAGTAAGCAGTGATAATTTGCACTGCATATATACAATAGATTTCAGTGCTGATAATAAGTGGCCAGGGTGCATAGGTAATTAGGGTAGCATAGTGGTGGGAAGGGATGCATGCAGTTTTGCTGCATGAAAACATATGGGATAATTCAGTGCTGACAAAAGGGAAACTCTACTATAGCACAGCTGATAAAGGTGGCATTTAAAGGACATCTATTGTTATCTTGACGTTGGGTGCCTTGTAGAAGTGAAAGATGCAAACTGAATGGAGATGAATGGCATTGGTTGCTGCAAAAGTTGCCCATCCTCTCTTTAGGTTGCAACGATCGTCCGATGATTTATGCAGGAGCATGGTGACTGAATCACTGCCTGCTGCTTCAACCTGAACGAAGATAGTTTTTTTGCGTCCCATGAGTGGCTGAATGTAGGTCACTGAATATTCCTTGGTAAAGTACTGCAATTGGAACTGCATGTTATTTTTTTAGGGAATGCATGAATAGACCAATGTTTGTCTAGTGTAAGTATACTTACCAGTCTATCTTGCTTCATGAATGTATTGTTCATAGTCACAATATAGAACTTGCTGGAACGCTGGAGGAACTGCCCGATGATGCTGATGTAGTTTTTAATGTCAGGTGTGACTGCTGTATTCCTTGCACAAAAACAGAGATCGTCGAAGCTACGTGTGGTTTCGCCTGTGAGCACACATTGTTTATAAGATTGCTATGTTTAATTGGAAAGAAGTCATGAAATAGGTAAATATGGCTATAAATTCTGTTAGTAGACAATTAATTATATCATGATTGTTGATATGCTAATAGTGACTCGGATTTGTTCTCTGTACTGGTAGGCTTGTGTGATAAAATCTCTGTGGCCAGAATGCGGATACTGATGTGGTGATTTTAGAAGGAAAAGAACTGAGTTATATGTGAACAGATGAAAGGCTTACCTGAATTGTCGGAGCTGGAAGGAATGTCAGTCATCGACTCTGTCCTTGAATCTGACGAAGTCTCTGAAAGATGGTGTTGAAATATGTCATTAGTGTGATTGGCTATAGATTTGTACATATAGGTATATATCATGGAGCACAGGATTGTAGACAAATATTTGTGCACCTTTGTTTGATGTGTGTGAAATGAGCATGGAAGCATGCTTGCTGGTAGGCATGTCATTGATAGTGATTCCTGTCGATCTCTTTGGTGCTGTCTTGATTTGTTTCTTGGATGAAGGGATCATGGGCAGCTTGCTATCTTTTTTCTTGTCAAAGAGAAGGACATTTATCTTTGATGGAGTAAGAACTTGAAAGCGAATGTATTGACCAGACAGTAAGCCAGTACGGTGAACAAAGGTTTTCCACCCTTTTGAGATGAAGAATGATCCTGCAATTTTTTCTAGTTCGACGGTCATTGGTGGTGCGTGCGGTGAAAGCAATGTTACAGTCTGTCCATGGTGTGCATGGCAGCCTCGAGCAATATTGTTCGGCAGCCGCTGTTGTGAGGCACAATGTTAGTTAAGAACATGAAAGAAGGTCAATAGGAAAAGAAAGCGTTGCTGTTCTTACAAAACGAGTGCGTTGTAGCGAAGTGAACTTCAATATAGGTGATGTATGGGTAGGCATGATTGAAAAACCTGAAATGTATGGTAGGTGGATGTCAGAAGATAAAACAGAGCAATAGAAGGATTAATAGGATAACATCTACATTGTAAGGTCAAGAACTGTAGATCTAATGAAAAGGGCTCTGTAATTTTGGAAAGGAAGGAAACATATTAGTATCGATTACACACAGTATAAATAGAGAGAAAATTAAACATGTTAGCTTATGACAGGGCAGCATTAATGTTAATGTGGCGAGTTCTACACAAGGCTGCCATTGTTGCTAGTTTTTGTTGAGCAAAGGACATTGGTAGGGTGGAAGAGCAGCATGGCTATATTAGGGCTGAAGGAGTTTGGATCTGGCATGGGAGATCTATTTTGTAGTAAGAAAAAAAAACCAGTGGTGTTGTCTAGATGTTGTTTGTTGGTGGGGAAGCAGAAATGCTGTGTATTTGGAAGGTGCAGAGAGAGTGAAAGAGGGATGATAGTGGTAGGAGGAAGAACTAACCTCCAAAGTGGCGCTCAGCTGGCGGCGGGAGTAGAATCGACCTTGGTTGATGGCGATTTTTTTTGCTCTTTGGCCGGTCGCTTTGTCTTCTCTGTGCTAGGGCTAGGGTGGTTGAAGAAGGCAAGAAGAAGGGATAAGGTTTGTCTGACAAAAAGGAAGCGTCGAGAGCATCGCATGGGCTTTGTGGGCCTTCGTACGGAGAGGAAGTAAATACATGGGCTTTTTGGACCTCTGTTTTGTCTGCACATACTTATATTAGTGGCTTTGGAGCATTGGCTGAGCTGCTCTTTGTTGTAGTGCCGTAGGGAAAGTTCGGTTGAGAGCGGCGGCGGCGGCTTTTTCCTCTGATGCATTTGCGCAGATCTGAAGGGATTGTGCTGACCGCGCTTGCTTTGTGCGCGGTGAGTATCGACGAAGTTGTGCGAGGTGGGACGGCTTGGTAGAAAGAAAGGAAAGCGCACAGGTGAGTACGATCTTTCAGATTCGGTTTGTCTGCCATTGCTGTTGACCATGAGGTTTGTTTTGTTGGTAAGATTGTTTGCAATGTTTGGTTAGTCCGTGCTGGAGTTAGACGCGAGAGGATGTGCCTGGCTTGGCCGAGTGAGAGCGTAGAAATGTGTAGCAGAACATTTACTATTGTTTGTGATAATTCGTTAAGGTCTGGGCTGATGATAGTAGGAAGCAAATGCTAAGGTACATAGCAATCTATATGGAAGAGGTGCATTTGTTAGTTCCTACGAAGAAAGTCACTGTCTTTCTGGCAGTAGAACAAATTAGGTGTGTAGGGAGTAATACTTGGTGTATTGTTTGCAATGATAGCATGTTTATTTTGGGAAGAGGCAAGATGTAGTTTGCTATAATCAATACTTTATGCTTTGTCTAGCTCATAAGAAATGAAGAAAAACTTAAAGGACAATGTCTTCCATTCTGTAAGATTGGAATGCAATATTTTTGGTTGTTTGGGCTTGTTATGAGACTGATCATCTGTAGATGTGTTTGTGTGTGTTTTCTGCAATAACTCTTCTAGTTGGATATGTCATGTAGGGAGGCATCAGTTATCTGCCTGGCAATGGACAATATTAGCAGGATGGAGAGTGCTCCTGCTGTTAGCGCTGACATGGAGTGGTGTGATGAATTTGGTCTAGGCAGTGAAGAATGGACAACAAAGGTTGAAATTAAGATCAGAAATGTCGCTGAGCATGTGTGTCACCCGGAAAAAATGGAAAGATTAGTATCGTCTTTCTGTGATGCACAAACATATAGTTTTGATGCAATGAAAAAGGAGTATTATATTTGTGGATTTGCTCGTAGCATTGAATCAATCCCAAAGTATAAATACTTGAAGATAAAGTATGGGACAGAGAATGGAGTCTGGATTAAGTTTTTCATGCTTAATCTAGAGGCTATACCGTACGTTGATCCAGAAAAAGATGTTGTGGCTAATGGTAAATTCATTGTATGATTGTAAATTTATTATATTGGACAATTGACTTTTTTTCTATCTATGATGTTAGTACTAATCTGTCATACATACAGAGAAGGATCCTGAACTGTATGAAGATCCAGATGTTGTGAGAGAAGCCTTTGAAAGTCAAGTTAGGCTGCAACGCATTGCAGGTATGAATTTGGTCTGCGGCGTTTAAATGCATGTCGGAACTACATATGGAAACTAAAAGTAACACCTGTTTTGTTGTATGCTGTATAAGATGGTGAGGAAAGCAGTATTTCGGCCGATGGCTCTTTGTGCATGAGCATTGACTCTGACTGGAGCCTGAAGTATGGTGGGCGTTGAATAGAACAACAAGGACATCAGAAAGATCAGTTGTCTATGAAAGATGCCAAGAAGCCAACTATTTAGTTTATTGTATATGATGTGCTATATAATATACAATGTAGCCTCGTAGCTTTTGTGTTGAGTATTAGTATGCTGTGCCGTAACATGTTAGCATGTATTACAGCGTGCTGTATGTAACATATGGGTTGTTTGATTGGTTATACTGCCGTGTGGGACTGCTGTGTTGGATATATGCATACGTCATTGTAAGATACTAAAGTTTGTAGCTTTTGTGCACGATATTAGTATGGGTTGTTTGTAGCTGGAGTTATTTCATGGCCTACGCTCTCTTGTGTGGCTGGAATCTATCTGTGTATCATAATGTTGCAAGGCTAACCGTTGTGCTATGTTAATATCACTTAGGTATGTCTGTGTGAACTGCATTGTCACTCTGCATTAGCACACGAATATGAAATCTGTTCGTATCTTGCACGAGAAACTATATACTGGTCAGGGAAGAGAATGATGATTGTTCTAGATTATATTTCCTGGTCTGTCTGATTTTATTCATTAGCTAGTTGCTAACCAATAGAGGGTGCTGGCAGCAAGGCCAAGAGGGTTCGATGTGCCGTGTAGGATCCAGAAGACATGGTCGTTAATCAGAATGGAAACCATGCCATTCTGCTGGTAGGCAGGAGAAAAGGAGTGTTTTTTGATGGTAGCTATATAGACAAGGTAAATAAGAGAGAACGCTTAGGTAGATTATAGGGATAACCATGTCTTTGTAGCAGCAGTCTAGAACACACAACAGTAGCAGAAGCAAACATAGGCAGCATTTCCCTACGATAACGACCATGGACGAAAGCCATGAACAAAAGAACTTGATTCTTAGCCTAAATAAAGGAAGGAGGCTCCTTCTGCGCTGTATCCAGGTTGATGGCCTATGTACACATAAGCAAAAGCCTTGCTACGCAACTGCATGTGGAGCTGTTATTTGCTGCATACAAGATGGAAAAGTTTGGGGGTCAGGACTGTGTTTCCATATTGTATTTGCAGGTAAATAATGTGTGTTGTGAGTGGTAACCTACACCTGTGTGTCTACTAAGGAGCATCCTTGAAGAGCTTCTTAGCACTTGGATGTAGGAGCGCAGGTTTTTCCCTGTTGAGGTATAAGGACATGTTAGTAATAATGGAAAAAGGGAGTGAAATATAGATGCAAGCAACTTTTATGTAAGAACCTTTTCTTGGCTGTGGCTGTAGTAGCTGATGTTGCGGCTGTTTGCGGAATGTCCTCTGCATGTTTAGCTGTTTGTTTTGCCTTGTAGAACAAAGAATGTTTAGGTGGTTAGGTCTAAGCTTAAAGGAAAGAAAAGCAGGAATACCTTGGACTCAGGAGAATTAGTGACAACAGTTGTTTCAGGAGCATGCTCTGGATGTTTGACCTCATCCTGCGCACAACGATTGGCCTTGCAAGATTATGTATGGGGTGAAAACCTAAATAGGGTGGCAGGAAGAACAATATGGGCAGGAAAGGTAATGACAAGTGTTGTACCTTAATAGCAGTGTCAACATTGGTGCTAAGAGGCTGCATGTGGCACATTGAAACAACGATGTTTTTTTTCCCTGGTGTTGAAGAACTTGGTTTGCTGGTTGGTGTGCTCTGTGTGGGAGTACCAATAGGTGACTTTGTTGGGGTTGAAGTGCTGTGCCCTTGCTGGACGAGCTGTTGTGATTCAGAGCTTGTTTGGCTTTGCTGGGGCCCTGTTTGGACAGAACTGCTGGAGCTTGCGGATGCAATAGCTGATGGTTCCTGGGAAGAACCCGGTGGCATAAGCAGCAGTGGCTCATTTGAAGGGCCAGAGGAAACAATGCTGTTAACCTGGAGAGATTCTTGGCTTCTTTTGACAGTATCACGTGTAAAGCTGACATTCCATGTAAATGTGCTATCAACAAGCGCTGCGATCTCAGCTGGAATGTAATCACTATCTGGTGGATTGTCCTCAATGAGAGATTCCACTGATTTTTTTATGAGGCGGTGTGCAACTCTTCCAAAAAGGATAAATGTAGCATTGGAGCTGGCATCACCGGCGATGAGCACTACTTTATATCTACATGGGTAATATACATGTGTATATTAATGTGTGCAGCACAATTAGTAAGCATGGAAAAATCTGGAATGAGGTGTGGTATGAACCTTGGATCTGGTATTCCTATGTTAGAACAGCTTGAGCATTTGTAGCTAGAACCGTATGGCTTAGAAGTTCTATAGCATAATCGGCATGAATTGTACCACCAGGAATTTTCGCTGCATATCCTCCTAACAGTGACATTGACAATGAAACGTGTACTCTGAAAAAGCAAAGAACAGAAATGATATCACTATTATTGAAAGTGAGAAAATGTGCAGCGATGTATTGAACAAAAAACTGGCAAGGAGGTACCCTGTTTTTGTGAGGATTGAGGGCAAGTATTTCTTGAATAGTTTTTTCCTCTGCAGTGTCCTGGTTGTAACCTGTTGCTGGGTTATCAACCCAGCTGACTGGACGAAAGTTTGCACTGAAGCTACATAGTTATATCACGTTGAAAGTTAACTAACTGTTTCACAAGGAGTGAGAACACATGATGGCAATGGATTATAAACATGAGTTCAAGTAGGCAGCCTCACCTCTCTTTGAGTTCTAGCACTTCAGGAATATCAAGGTTTAGATACCATTTGCACGGCGAACTACCAGTCACTGTAAGACCTGTATAGCATGAACCAAATAAAAGCATAGCGTTAGATGGCTAGAATAAACAACATAGAAGTGAAAATGCGTAGTGAAAACGAACCTAATCCTGTGTAATCTTTGACAAGTGTCCCAACAAAGACAATAACTTGGGCCTGAGTTTGGCCAGCATTGTATACACTATTAGCGTCAAAAGCATCAGCCCTTTCTCCCCAGAGTGTAACAGGCATTGTTGAATTGCTATTGTTTTTCCATGAATAGAAAAAAGGAAACAGTGTGAGTGTAATTTAAGAAAGCAGCAGCGTACTAAGAATCTATGCATGCATCAAAGGAAAAGGTAAAAATTGCAATTAAACATAGGGATATTCAGTCTGAGCAAAGACACCTTGCATCACATATCTGTATTGTTCTTTTTAAGCTATCAGCATTCCTTGACTTCGGCCGCACAACGGTTGGCGAACCAACCTCAGTGATGACACCCATGACATCTGGTTGCATGCCATATAAGCCTAATTAATGATGAGATAGTATGGATTATTGATACAACAAATATAGCTGTGTAGAAGAATCTCGTTACCAACATAGAAGATGGTCTTGTCCACTAAATTGGGGATATCACTGAATGGTGTCAATGAAAAAGTTATGCCAGGGAAATCAGCAGCGGGCTCAATGTATTCTTCAAATGTTGTCCATTTACTGAACACAATCATTAGGCTATTGTCGACTGGCCTGTATGTCCTATTCGCATACCTCACAGTAAAGGAGTCAATATAGTAAACCTTTTGTTCCTTAAGCAAAGGCCTCAGGCTGTCAATTGCAGGTGGATAAATCTGAGCGTGAATGCTGTTTCCCTGCATTTTTAAAGTAAATAATGTTATCAAGAGAGTTGGCACTATAGCCTAATAGGCATCGATGAATAAATGTCATAGTCACATCATTACCATCTGATCGAGCAGCACAAGATCAGTGTGGAAAATATTGCCACTGCCGTTGAGATCGCAGAAATCCCATAACCTAGAAACTCTTGCAAGGATCCTTGTGTTTAAGTCTCCACAGGACAGCTGTGAAATGAGCACATGTGCCATCTTGGACCTGCAATGAGCATAGAACTATTTTAGAATGGGTAAAATGGTTGGATAAGATATAACAGTCAAAAGATTGCTTGGCAGGATACTATACATGACAAAAGGCAATATACTATGTACCATACACATAGTCTATAGTACTTGAGGCTGAAAGACATTTATTCCAAAATATATGTACAAATTTGGGTATTACTGTGGTAAAAAATTTCAAGCATCAAGCGGCGGAGCCTGCAATAGTAACACATGCACATTACTCTGCTGAAAATACAACGAAGTGATGAAAAGCAAAAAAAAAAGATATAACGTGCGGGAAATCACCGCTTGGACTGTAGCGCTGAGCACTTCAGAGTAAACTATATTTTTTGTCTGTGTACCACATGATCCATCATCATTTTCAATTAATATTTTTAGCCCTGATCGGCTTGTTACTCTTGAAATAGCAACGTATAATTGCCCATGTGTGAAGACAGGCTTCCTAAGATATACGCCAACCCGCTGGAGTGTTTGACCTTGGCTTTTATTGATGGTCATTGAATAGCAAACTCGAACAGGGAACTGCCTTCTCTGCAGTGTAAAAGGCCATTTCATCTTTGTGGTGCCAAGTGTGATTCGAGGTATGTAAACAGTTTCACCAATGTTTGATCCAGTCAGTACTATACACTGTAAAATTCTGTCTCCTAAAACTGTGACTAATAGCCTTGTTCCATTGCATAACCCAATTGATTGATTAAGATTTCGTAGCAGCATTACGACAACACCTTCTTTAAGAACAAGTTTATGCGTTGGAAAGTTAGTAGCATTTATTGAATTCAGAAACTCTGGGGGGTATAACAGATCGAAATCTGGAATTTGCTCAGAGCTTTTTGATATGGTATCACAGCTTAGGTATACTCTAGAATCTCCTGGCACTAAACCAATAATATAATCGTTTATTTCATCAACCGTTGTATTAGTAGGACAAACAATTGCACGAGAAGCCAGATATTCAATGTCTCTGTAGCACGTAAGGAAATCTGAGTAAACCTCATGAACAATAGCAGCTATTTTGTCACCGCTAGTCATAACAAGTAAATCATCGGGAATTGTGATCCATGCAGGATAATTCTCACCTTCCTTTGCTGTCATAGGTAAAGTGCCATTGCCTATAGCTAAAACCCATTGACTAAAATCATGCAATTCTTTTTTTTGATTGTCTGGTAACATTGGATTGAGTAATCTCATGTTTATATTCAGGCTGAGTAGCGCTACATGTTTCCATAGTTCTGAGTTCGTGATAGATGCATTGATTATAGCCTGACGGGATCCTTTAGGAATAACTGGGAGTATTTGTTTGAAATCACCACCTAGGACAATAGGCTTTCCTCCAAAAGGTATAATAGAATTTGAAGGGCATGTCTCTGATAAAATATCTCGTAGCGTTCGATCTAATGCTTCAAAGCATCGCCTATGTGTCATTGGAGCCTCATCCCATATGATCAATGCAGTTTCAGCTAAAAGCTCAGCAAGCATTGTGCCTCGTTTTATATTACAGATGCTTGTTTCATCAATGTCAATTGGTATTTTAAACCGAGAATGAGTTGTCCTACCTCTAGGCAATAGGAGAGATGCTACCCCTGATGAAGCGACAGCAAGAACAATCTTGTTTTGTGATCTAAGTTTTGCAATTATTGTATTCCAGAGAAATGTCTTGCCAGTTCCACCATGACCAGACACAAAAAAGAAACCAGGTTCATTAGCGATAGCACGAGAACAAATAGTGTTAAAAACAGTTATCTGGTCATTATTCAACTGCTGTACGAAAGAGTCTGCATGCATAGCAAGCATAAGTGGGTCAATTGTGATTTCTTCATCGATTAATCTATTAGTACCAAGAACATGTGGAACAGATGATGGATGTGGCAGGTTAAAATCTTTGATATTACCACCGCTATTTGCAAATACAGCAATAAGCTCATGTAGTAGCATGTTAAGCAAGTGGTCATGTGGAATCACACAGTGTGGATTGTCAAGGGCCTTTTTTAGCCTGTTATGTATGTCATCAGTCATGTATAGCCAGTATTTATCAAACAATGAACGAACATCACCAACAGAACAGTAAAGAAGGACTGTCACAAAAAGTTGTCTAAGCTGCGCTGAAGACGCAGTCACTATGGCCTCATCAAAAAGGAGATGCCATTCATTATCTCCTTCAAGAAGCCCTCGTGCCTCACATGCCTCTCTATACGTGCCATAAACAACACCATCGTATGTGCGAACATCAGCATAGCTTTGAGCACCTTTGACAATCATTAACAACATCCTAAGATAGTAAAGCTCGCCTGCAGTTGGATGCACATAATAAATTCTGCCAATTTTAGGAGCAGGTGTTCGCTCGTGCCAAGTTTTAGATGATGGCTCCCATGTCCATTCCTTAGGAAACTCACAGTATGTCAATGAATGGGCCTTAGAATTTTTTTTGTTAGTTTCAAACCATTCAGTAAGCATAGACCGTTTTGCACCAGGACTCTCAAGGACTGCCCGTAGGTCAGCTCCCTTCTCGTATCTCACAAAGTTTTTCCCAGGCAGATGGACAACCAATCGCTCAACAGGTGGCACTCTATAATGTATATCAAATTCAAATAATCGATGAAGTGCCTCACAGGTTGAGAGAAATCTTGCATCCATGTATTCTAATATTTCATTGCGTGGAGCAAGGTCATGATTTGGTGATGCATTTTGTGTTTTTCCTGTTGTTTCAAAATAGATCCTAGCTCGGTCATGGCCTTTTGTAATATATTTAAATAAATACTTTATCAAATTTGATTTGTTACACCACTCAACATTTATGTGTGCCTCATATTTTTTCAGTAAAGCCATGTTGTAGGGTACAACTGATCTATTGTCTAAAAGGATCCCATTCTTCATGATAGATCGTCCATCATTTCTTCGTCTATAGATTGTAAACCCAGATTCATCAACAATGGTTTCATCTTGGAAATCTTTAGGATAATGTTTTGAACATTTATCGTTTTTCATACAAGGACACTTCTTGTTCGCATCACCGCAAGGACCATGCATCATAAACTCGCTAACCAATTCATATCCTAGCCGGTCGGTGTCATAGTCAGGTATTTCAGCACAGATAAACCCATCTATTATAGAGGCTGAGACATCGGCAGTGGCAGCAGCAAGCCAAACTAAGCAATGTATGTGTGGAAGGCCACGCTTCTGGAATTCAACAGTGTACAACACTGTAATCATTAAGAACAAAGGTTGATGAGTGCCACACCAATGGCCTTAATACGCTATGAACTAACAAAATTGTGACCATACCTGCAAGAACTTTACCAAAAGTTCTGCCTTCCCTAATATCAGTTATAAATTCATTAACTTTCATGTTAAACACACGCACAATAATATCAGCTCTATCAGATGGTTGTTGGCCAGGCTCAAATCGAATCGCATCTGCAATTTCTTGCCATTTGGAATTACATGTGTATGTGACAAAAAGGTCAGGAGGCCCATAGACACGACATATTGCCATCGCATCTTGATAATTCATGACCATATATCTTCTTCCTCCAGTGAAGCTAGCAGGAAGTATGACACGCTTGCCAACTGAATCTCCATCAGTGACACCTTTATCAATCGCATCAACAATTCCATCTACAGACTCAGAGCGCAGCTCTTTTTGATGATCGATGAAGTACTGTAGCCTATTTGTTTCAATAGTAGAAAATATATCAACATCGATTTGATCGCTCAAGCGACCATAGCATGTGAAAGGATTTGATTCATTTAGTCTGTAATGCATTTCATATCTATAATATTCCGGCATCGTGACATACTTTTTGCCAATTCCATCATAGTTACTGTATTTAATGCCTAAATGGAATCCGCGTTCACCATATGGAAATAACAAAGGATATTGCAATGCCATATAAGATGGATGCAAGGGAGAAATCTGGCGCAGGCCACGACCTTTATCGTAGACAAGCACATCAAATTTGTATTCTTTCGCAGAAAAATCACCTACTATAATAGCAGCTATTTCACTGTTCGTTGGTAAATTGTATTGCACATCGTCTTTTGCATTGCAACCTAAAAGGCGAAGTGTCACTTGCTGATTGCCATGCTGAATAACACGTTCTCTAGCATACCTAAAGCTCTGGACAAGAGTATTTTCAGCATCAAGCATCGATGATAGGGCACGAATTATCTCAGGATCTGCTTTATCTGAATTATCACCGTCGTTTTCAAATATATTTAATCGGTTTTGTAATTCATTTTCTGGATCATACACATATAATTGCGCAAATTTGGGAGGTGAGCCACAGGATGGCACAAGAGTACCAATCCTATGGTGCACAACTCCATTGATCTTGAATACATAAGGTGCATTTCCAGTGTTAATCGATTTATCAATAGCTGCACCCATTGAGCTGAAAGCAAACATCGAATTATACGATCGTATTTGCCTCAAAAAAATTTTCGAACGTGCATCACCATTATAGTTCAATAATGATGCTAGTGGCTCAGGAGGGGCACGCAGTTTTGGCAATTGTATGCGTCCTCCTTTGCAACATAGATTGTAAATTATTTTTCTTTTTGAAATAGCAGATGCACTCTTGACCCTCTCCTGGTACCAGAACATGGCACGACAATACGGGCATTCATACGTCGGAGGGCCATAGTATGATCTGTCTGGGTATGATGCTGCCACAAAAGCGCTGGACAATGTCAAAAATAGTCTCGTGTAAAAAAACAATACATTACGTGCACGTATTCAGAACAGCGGCCGAACCCTTTAGCAATCAGATATACTCCTTGTCTGTCCGGGAGGAACTACCGTTGGCTCGTGCAGTGCGATTTGCTGCGAACAAAGACAGTAAAACGGCCTATGAACCTAAACTGCACGAAAAAAAACAAGCCTACCATCACAGACAACAAAAAGAGCATACCATCCACATTGGCCAAAGGAACGGACGGATCCATCTTTGAACGCAGGAGGGAACGCCTTTGCCTATTTAACTTTGCCAGCTGAGGTGCAAAATCCATCAACGAACATTTCCTCTTGCACCGACTTTCCTGATGGGGCTGCCCTAGCGGAACGATAGCATGTTCTATATGCATTGCACTCTGTTGGGACAGAACATTTGTGGCCCTTCTCTGCCGGCTGGCACGTACCCTACGCACTCTATCCATAGCATGCGTTTCTAACTGCCATCATAATTTTACAGAGGCAAGAAAAGAATGAAGCAAAGAACACGGGCAAAAAAAGTGGCTCAAACCACACAGATACAGTGAACGAACAATATAAAACGACCGAAAGCTCTGGAGCAACCACATGCAGATTTAGACAGCGATGAATGCAGGCAATAGAAACAAAATACTAAACCAATCAACCATAAATAAAGGACAGAAAGATTAATAGCGCGGGAATACCTTTAGCAAGGAATATGCTCGTCGACAGGCAGAATCCACTAAAACGCACCACGAAGCGAACACACAAGCTGTGAACAGAGGCAAGGAAGAAGACGGAACAGAGCTGCAGAGAACGGAGCATGATCAGTGAATAAGAATGTAGGAAGCAAAGCATAACACAAGGCCAATGAAACCAGCAACAACCAAAAGTACCTGCTAGGTCTTAGAAGCAGCCCGCACACGTGCAATGGAAGATGATCAGGAACCTTTAAAGGTCCATTGCAGCCCATGCAGATCGCCTCCCCTAAATGGAACAAAAGGTGCAGGGTCAATGCTAGCAAGAACAGCCGCGCAGTCATAAGCAAACAAACAAGAGAGAACAAACATAAAACCCAAATGACAGAACGGACAGGAGAACCACACGCATTGATCCAGGCCTTACCACGCCATAACGAAAAGTTGAACAGGAGCAAAACGAGTGGGAGTTTCTCGAGCAAGGAACAGAACAGTGGAGCGAAGAAACCGACGAGAGGAGGAGAAACCGAAGGGAAGAAAGAAAGAGAAACGCAAGTAGTAATATATACAGACAAAGATAGAAGGGGTTCTCCGCCGAGCTGCAGCAAGGAAGCAAACAATCATGTACACCTGCACACCAAACACCCACAAATAGGAACCAAACAAATGGCTAGCTGAGATGACACTGCCCCACCTATCAGCGATATAAGTGCAGCGCACCTAGCTACAACCCAAGAAAACCTGACCAGAGATTAGCTGTGTTCGGCTGAGGGAGCTGGGAACGCGCACAGTACTTTTCCTCCGTGCACGCTTTTCAAACTACTACATGGTGCAATTTTTTATAAAAAGTTTCTATACAAAAGTTGCTTAAAAAAATCAAATTAATCCATTTTTGAAAAAAAATTTAGCTAATACTTAATTAATCACGCGCTAATGGATCGCTCCGTTTTCCGTGTTCACTGTGCGCGCTGGGAATGGATGGAGCCGAACACAGCCTAACAGCATAGGCTGCAGAAGAAGAAGACTGCATGGACCAAGCCGAATGAACCAAGCATCCAAGCGGATTGGACATGGCCCAGGACGCAGAGGAACGGGGCGCATACACCAGGACCACAGCGATGCCTGATATTGACAACCCACGCAAACGCACCAATAGCGGAGAAGCCATCACAGAGTAATCCCACTACAGGCGCGGTCTCCAACAGCATATGGTCCTAGACCGTAACACACAGGTTCAGAATAAAGCAGACCCACCGGCCAGAGAGAAACTGTGCCATGGACACAGCGCACACGCGCACCAAGCGACCAAAGCAATCTGACACAGCAGCTAAGGCAAACAGCATAGACCTGTTCCACGTTAGGTACGAACAGGCAGAGGCCATGCGGCCCACACGGCAGCCACAGGCAATCTGTGGACCATGGCTACCTCAAAAAACAAAGAAATGCACCACGCAACGCATAACACCGGAGAAAACAATGGCAAGGACACCCACCCTACCCTGCGCGCGGCGCAATGCACCGCACACAAACCAACCAAATGAGGCCACCACACAGGGAACAACACGTGGCGGACGCAACGCAGAGAACCAGCGGACGAGAAAAAGGAAAATGTGGCATGCCAAACGCACCGACGCACGATGGTCATCCAACGGCGGAGAACGCGCGCAACGACCGCGCTCCAAATCCACCCCTGGGCTCCGGCTGGATGACGTGCCAAGCAACGGCAAGGGCCACGACAGCGTAAATCGCCGCCCAGAGCAGCCATTTCCGGCGAGTTTGTATATAGAAGATTAAGCTGCGGAAGCGCGTGCAAGAGAGTGATGCGAGTACACGACTAAGGGTGCATCCAATAAAAAATCATCCTCAGCCATAATCAATTTCAACGTCCCTTTCTTTAATTTCTTTCCTTCTCCAGAATCGACGCCCCGATTCCAAATTCCAAAGTCGCCACGGGATTCCGAGGTCGCAATCTACCCAATCGATACACGCGTATATATACCCACCCCGGCCGGCCACTAACTACATTCCTTCCTCCTCTCGCGATCGCCGGCGCGCCATGCATTCCCAGACGCCGGCGAAGCCCAAGGCCAGCCCTGTCCGTAGCCGCCCGCAGCTGCCTGCTTCTGCTGCTGCTGCGGCGGCGGCGGCGGTGGAGCCTCCGTTGCAGCTGCAGCAGCTCCACACAACCCCTCCTCCACCGCCGCCGCCGCTGATGCCGGCGGGTGGAGAAGTGACCGGCGGTAGCAAGGCGGCCAAGAAGCGGGGCATGCAGAAGCTGCTCAAGTCGGCGTTCAAGCGCGGCGACCACCACGCGCCGGCGGGCGCTTCCTCTGGGGGTGGTGAGCAATCCGGCGACGACGAGGCGGCGGCGGCCGCAGCGCAGGACCTCAGCCGGTCGTCGTCGTCGTCCACCGGCGGGAGCAGCGGGAGGAAGGGGCGCAAGGGCGACAGCTCCGTCGAAGGCGACCTTTCTAGTCGTGACAGCCTAGAGCTACAAGGTCTGAACTCTCTCTCTCTCTCTCTCTCTCACTCTCTCTCTCTCGCTAATTGCTGCATACATCAATAAACAATCTTAGTCAAAGTGTGTAGTTTGTGGCTAGGATGGAACAGCATTACAGCAAGCAAATTGCATTTCGCAACCAAACGACTTAAGTTAATTTTCAAGACAGTAATGAAATGCTCTCTTTTATATATATATAACTAATGAAATGTTCTCTAGCTATTGCCTGATTGCATGCTTGACGTGCATCTTTTGTAAATTAAAAAAAATCTAATATGGTCACCAAGACAACAATTATAGAATTTTATCCCACTAACTAAAATTCAATTGTGAAAGGGCATATAGCTTAGTGGTTACAGTGACCTGAGTAACATCCTATGGTTTTGGATTCAAATCTCCGAATTTCAGATTGGGTTGTTTGAGTTTTTGAGAAGCTAAGTTCCCAATTTTAAAGTTTGCATATATCCGGTTGGATATAGAGGTCAGATAAAGATTACCCTTCTCTTAAAAAAACTAAAATTATATTTTTTAGGGATGAACTTCCAATTTTCAGAAGATATATATAAATGGACATAATATAGACACTGGAAAGGACAATGGGTTGAACATTAGATGATTTTACGGTACGTGCAGTCTCAAAAGATGAGGTCAGATGGGTTCTTGCCATGTAACCTGCACCGGTAGCGGCACCACTGCCAAAGAGCATGGAACTTGAGAAATATATAAAGATTTACAAATAATATAAGTAGATCAATTTAGCTACAGAATATTTTTTTAGCGGCAGGACGACTGGAGAGTGGACGAGCAGATGACTATAGAAAAATTAATAACAGACAGCTGAGTCTTACATAAAAAATCGTTTTAGTTTTCAATTTATAACTGAAAGACTATATTTGGAAATAACTAATGTTGTTAGCCATGCAAGTTTATGGTCGGTCATATGTATGTTGACGTTATTTTTTGTCCATTTTTAATTTTATATTTTTTTTAGTGGCTTGGAACGAACGGTAAGGAGCCTATGCACCCATAATACTAGACAAGAAAACCATAGGGCAATTGTTTTCTCCAAGAGGGATGTTCTTTAATCATCATCGTTATTAGTGTTTATGTTGTTTCTACAGATTCATATGAATATCGGTTCATTCAATGCCACTTCTTTTATAAGTTCAAGTTGCATGGTTAGTTGGTGTTGGCCTTCATGTCAGTTCAACAATAAATAAATAAATAAAAGAGGAGAAAGAGGGAGCAAAATGTCAATTTTGTTATTATAAATCTTAATTACATGGTAGCTAGCAAACATTAAAATGTTGATTTTGATGTTTTCTCATCAAAGTTTATAAGCCGTTGCCAAAATTTAAGTTTTAAAAACCTGATTTTTTGTTTATGTTTATTAATTGAAACTTATTTTCTAGCATTGGATTTTAAATCGCTAAGAACACACACATATATATATATATATAAAAAGTTATACCCGTAAACTATTTTTTTCTAATAAGCCATTCTGCTTATAATCGGCATTGGATTAACAAATGACAGTCTATGGCCTTGAAGGATTCCTAAATGAAATATCAATTCCTTTGGAATAAACACTATTCATGTATTCGATTCATAGGATTCAAAGGAAAGTTTTCCATAGGAATACTATACCAATCCTCCAAAATCATCCAAAATGTAATAATTTCATAGGAATGAAAACATCCACTCCATCCTCTTTTGTTCAGCTCAGTATAGGAAAAATTATTGTGTTCCAATCCTTTGTGTTAGCACGTGCATTCCTACATTATTTTTGTGTTTTTCTATTCCTGTGATTTGAAAATCATGTGAACCGAAGAGGCCCCAAGTGTCAACACCTGAAAAATAACTTATAAATGGAAATACTCTTTTAATCCGAGAGGGGACATTCCCTCAATTTTCTAAGTAACATGAAAATGACTTAAAAATTTTAAAATATATATTTCACAACCCTATATATAGGTGAATCTACAGTTCCGACTTGCTCTGAAGATACCGAGATCGTCTCTCTTTTAGCCGTTTACACCCTTGGTTGTGTAAAGGCTGGGTTTTAATTAATCCTCTATTAAAAAATAGAATCGGTCTCTTCAAGCATCCTCAGCCAAAAGGCAGTTGCAAATTAAAACTAAGGCTAACATTATGCTTTCATATATATTATATTGGTAAACTAATAGTGAATAATTTACGCTATGGACCTGACCCACAAACAGTATGTCGCAGGCTAAAACATAATGTTTTTTATAGGTCATTAGTATGTCACAGGCTAGATAGATAAATCATCTTCTTCTCTCGATCTCTTTATATTTTTGTGCGAAGAGATAGATAAATCATCAGATATGATACATGGCACATATAGAACCACGCAATTCAGTCGTGCAATATGGTATCATCCCACTACTTAGACATGAATGCGCATGTATATATCATGCATTCATAATTGCATATTTCAAGCCATTCACCACCAACCTGATTAAATTTGGATCATCAACAACTATGACTTATTTGTAGTGGAGGAATTATTTTCTGTTTCTCATAGGAAAATGTTTAATTCTTTCTGATAAAATTACTACATGAAACTTTGCTGTATAAATCTTTAACGGGAAGCACTTTCGCTTAAATGGAACCAAGAAGATACTAGAGACTATATAGGTAGACCCATGTCTTGAAGGCCTTTTGTCAAAAAAAAAAACATTGATTTTTCGCTTTTTTAAAAAAAAACAATGATTTTCGGCAACAAAAACGAAGGAATGAAAAGAGGACCACTCGCATGTGCATCTTGAGCTTTGTGACCTTCGGAAGCTCAAAGAATCAAAATCCAAGACTGCATCATTTCCTGTTAAACAATGCTCACTAGTTGTAGTGATTTGATGCATGTTCCTCGATCCAAAGCTTGCATAATTCCTATTCTTTTCTTCAAATGTCACTTCTTTACATCGCCCATGAATTAAGTGGCAACTTAATACCCCCCCTTAAAAAAATTGTCATCAAGCATAGGGCAACAGAGAGTACTCCGATCCACTGGATCCCCAAGTTCTTAAACTTCTCCACACTTGGAATATACTACTAGGGTGATAACGTATGCACATATTGTTCGCGGTATATTCAGTTTCCATATACTTCCATGACATCTCATCATATGCAATCCAATCCCAACCATGCTTGCAAAGAGTCCAAGAATGTCAAGGGGGCAGCCGCAGCGCTGCGAAACGCCAAGCTCAGCCACTCCTACGAGGCATTCCCATGGGAGAGGAAGATGAGGGATCTTCTGCAGGTGGCCGGCGCCAGCGGCTTCCTGTCCCTGCTGCTTCTGCCTCGGGCGACCGACGAGACCCAGACCAAGTTCCACTCCCTGGAGGACACACTGGCCAGGGCTGAGTCCTGGCTCATGTCCTCCCAGATGTCAGGTGTCCCAATTGTCCCCATGAATGTGCAGACAGAAGCACTTCTCACCAAGGTAATAAGACATCCTCATCAACCATGCTAGCCAGGTCCTTTTTTTTCATTTTTTGTGAATTTAGCCTAAATTATTCAAATCTACCAAAATTCGTTTAGATTTTGTTTTTTTATATTGCCTTTCTGCACTATAGTACCATGATGCTAGTTGTAGTTGTTAAGCAGACAGAGGAGTGACTTAACGATTTCCAAAAATGATGTTAAAAATTGGAGGATGGCAAACAATTATAACTTGAGTCTTAACTACTTTATGGAACTGAAATGAAGGGTTGGGATGGTTGTTTGGTTGTCTGATTCAGATATGTGGGGACGTGGCATCGTCAACGGTGAACATGAACTCCCTAGGTGACCTTGCAAACATGGCAACGGTGAGCCTCTACGGGTTTGAGGACTACCATGGCGTCGACATTGGCGTCGTCAGGGCGATCCGGCTATGGTATGCTCCTTTTGCAGGGGAGATGGCACTGGAGATCAAACTGCAACCGGGCGACACCAGGCTGGGTTTTGCCATCAGCCGCACTGAAGAGGTAGCAAATCCTTCAGAAAATACCCAGTTTTCATACATGCTATAGTAGGGCATACCTACTCTACCATGTGAATGTTGAACTGTTGAATTAATCATGACCTGAACGGCTGAACCAGTACTGCTTCCATTTTGTTGTCATTGTTACACCATTTCTTGGGCATACTCTCTCTGTCCCAAAAAAAAAACTCAATCTAGGATAGGGATGTGACCTCTCCTAGAACAACAAATCTGGACAAAAGTAGTCATAAGCCACGCATTTCAAATACAAATCCATTGGTATACTACCTGCATATAGTGTGATTAAATATTACTACCTCATTTTCAAAATATATGATTGATTATCAACAACTATCATATCAAATCATGTCATCAGGCACGCATTTCAAATACAAATCCGTGTCATTAAATGTTACTACCTCATTTTCAAAATATTATTGCGTCGTTGACTTTTCGTGACATTTCATCGTTCATCTTATTTAAAAATTTAATATAAACATATAAAAGTATAAGTTAAGATTATATTTTATTTGATAATAAAAAAGTCACAACAAAATAAATTATATTTATATAATCTTTTTGAATAAGACAAATGGTGAAACGTTATGCGAAAGGGGAATGCTACATGATGGTATCCCATTCGTACGGAATGATACCTCTGAAGTTGGTGATACTTCATAGGTATTATCCCATCCGAACAGGATACCGTCTTGTAGTATAAAGATTTTTTAAGTGCTGGAATGGCTTATATTTTAAAATGAAGGGTGTACCAAATATTACGGAGGAGTTTGTATCTCTAAAAGTGTGTGGACAGCGAAATGGAAGTAAATTAAGCGAGTAGAGAGTAGCTGGCTGACCACAATTTCTTTTGTTGCCGGTGAATTAAGCAGGGGTTCATCTACGTGTCGTCGGTGGCGGAGGAGAGCACGCCGGGGGTGGCGTCGACGCGGTCGGGGCTTCTGGAGCTGTACCGGCGCGCGCGGCGGGCGTCGAAGCTCCTCGTCGTCTCCCGCGTCGGCGACGACAAGGTGCTCCCCTGGGCCACCTCCACCGCCGGCGACATCCGCTGCTTCGACACCGTCTCGCTCAGCCAGCGGCTGTCGCTGCACCGCCACGCGCTCCGCCCCGTCACCCTCCACTTCCTCATGTGGGAGCGCCTCCCGCCCGCCGCCGTCATCAGGGGCGGCGCCGCCGCCAGGCCGACCGTGCAGATGATCGTGCAGGGCGACGAGGAGGGAGGAGGGGACGCGGCCGACGAGTCCACCGACGAGGTCGCCTTCGACGGCGACGGGCCGGAGATCGTGCTCAGCGGCAAGGACGACTCCGACGACCGCTCATTCAGGTTCCAGAACATCGGCCTCCCGGATAGCTGGCTGTGACCCGAGTTTTTACTTTTTACGTTGCTAGTTCGTTCGCTCGATCGCCTCATGATGAACACTGATCGATTAGCCCCCTTGCAGTAATAATGGAACATAAACTCGTCGATTAACCATTCAAAATCCTTCGTTTCCCTTCTCTATGATTTTCCGTCTTGAGTATATCTGGGCAACTTTTGAAGGTATTTCTTATGCTAGCTTTGCGCTGGCCATTAGTCAGGTTAATGCGACAGCAATGTTAATCCATGTGTTAGGGAGTAGACAAATAACACACGAGTAAATTTCTCGGACGGCATGTCACTTGTTGTGATGCTAGTAATAATTACCAAACGCAAGAGTTCTTTCGGAGAGATAGGGATGATTGTAATTGATTGATATAAAAGAAAAGATGACTTTTTTTTAACACAAATTTTGCTGCCCGAGCCAAAAGGGTAAAAGGAAAAGAGAAAAGAAGGCTTGTGGCATAACCCTTCCTACACCATCAAAGCAATTTAGTTGTACCCACAGCGCATTGGAAAACAAACTTCTGCAACCATTACTACTACCCTTTCATATTAAAAACTCATTTTTGACTTTCTTTTTTTCAAACTTCTTTAAGTTAATCAAGTTTACAGAAAAATTTGCAATGTGTACAACACCAAATTTCTACTAAAATTAATAGTATTTAATATATTTTAATAATATATTTATTTTGTGTTAAAAATATTATCAATTTTTTCTATAAATTTGATCAAACTTAAGTAAAAAAAATCAAAACAAGTATTTCACTAACTGCAAGGGATAAAAGTCGTGATTTCAACACTAATTAATAGCCAAGGTTATTCTAAGTAACTACGGTTTCTTAATTTTACAGACAGAACGCAATTTTCTTTCAGACATCTTTGATTCTAATACTACAGTGCTAAATGTCAATGTGCAATATGCCCCCTCATAAATCAATAGCACAAACCATATCCCAACTAGTACACGAGCATCATTTTGAACCATTCAGCAGCACAAGCATTGCCCGACTATTTTGTTTGTCATCTCTTTAAATCCAAATCCACAAGCACCAAATTTCAGATTACAATGCTTTTATCTTTCTCTACAATTTCTCAAAATCAACCATAGATCAATGGGTATCATCATTTGATAAGCTCCCATGATGCATGCTGCATGCGATGCTCAAAATTGTTGCGCCCTTTTACAGGTTGCGTTTAGAAATACCACTATTATGAGTTGGAGGGAGCTCAAGTATAAATACAAATATTGTATTGAGTTCCTTCCTGCCTGCAAGACAAATGTAGAGTTGTAGTTGTAGACCAGGTTAAGTTCCGAGATCACCAACCAAACGACTCCCAGTTCAGATGCTTTGTCAATGAAATACCATCAAAGAGCTGCTCCAGTTAGTCACGAGCTGCTACGTTATACTGCCTAGCCTGTCATGACTAGTTCCTGAGATGCTATGGCATGCTTTAACATGGTTCTGGAAGATGCAGGGTGAACTGAGGTCAGCACCACACTAGTTACCAATATTACTGTACAAAATTATGAGATGTTCGCCTGGCAATAAAATTATGGCACTAGAATTATGAATATTGGCTGAAAAAATTCACTATCAGACATTGCCTTGAAATATAGACATCTTTGCATCCGTTCAGTACTGAACACCACGTTCGGCATGGCCATGTTATCCAAAGTATAAACGCCGTTGAGATCTAAATATTCATTTCATGATGCGGCAGAGCCAGTAGAGACTGGGCTATCTCTAAGCTGCAATAGGCTGAGTTGCAGTTGCTTTTGAACCATCTCAGCAACCATCCTCAGTCTTCCCTGGCTCATATCTCCAACTGCTGCGGACCCATTCATAGTCTCCACTGCTCTGGAAACCCTCTGTTTACACCTCTCCCAATCCTCATGTTGTAACCAACAAGCCCTGCCGCTATGGCTCCCATCCATTGCAAGGAATGCAATGTGACTATCTTCTCCAAAGGTGTACCTTACTCTCACAGAAACACAATATGGCAACCAAGCAGCTCCACCAGATATGCTCATGTGGGGTACAAGGGCCTGATCAAGTACAAAAGTTAGGGCAAAATCTACTGAATTGTTGGCTCTATCATGATGAATATTGCTCTTTGATGATGAAGAGCTTGCAGTGTAATCATCTGAAACCAATCTAGGGTGCTTTTCCAAACAGATCTCAATCCGTGCCCTGTGTGTAGTAGCATTGTCCGCATGAGCTTGGGGCAAACTTTTCTTCCATGCAATTAGTTTTATAAATTCTCGAAGAACTGAAATAGGCAAAGTAAGCAAAGTGATAAAAGATGCAACCCTAGAAGCATCATAGGGTTCAGAGGCAACACGTCTGCTGAAATAGTCACAGATCTCGCTTATCTCAGGAACTGTTAGCTCTTCCTGGCCATTGTTCTGAGGAGTTTGCTGTTGCTGTTGTTGCTGATGGTGAAACCGTTTCACATTGAGAACTTGAAGCAGCAGTTGAACTCTATGAACACTAACAGCAAATACATAACCACTGCAGAATGGAAAATGAAGATAATCAGACAGTTTTTTTTTTTTTTTTGAGAAATCAACAGATATTGAGAAAACAGAAAAACTTTAGTTGAATATAAAGGAAAATTTAGTAGTATAGGCGGTCTGCAGTGGCATATATCTACATTTCTCAGTAAACAATGGTTTAGCACAAATCAGAGCTAAACGCATATGGCATCCCCTGGCATTCAATCCTACCACTATACACAGAACATAGCTCTTGCTGGTTTGTTTGATAGTAAAAACAGTATGTTCTATCAAAAATAGGTCAGGCAATAAAAAAATAATTTGTGCAGTATATTCAGAGAAAAATGCAGTGATTTCTTGAAAATTTTCATCCACAAGTTTTGAACTGAATTGGATTTTTTTATTGAATGATACAATGTTGTGGTTGACTTCAGAACCTCTAGTGATCCCACCAGACCACGCATGACTTTCTAGACATATTACATATACAACATAAGTTCAAACTTTTCAACAGTTCTGTTCCCTACAAGGGAGCCCAGTAACTATCAATTCTCACCAAAATAAATGTTTGTGTGCCTAAGAATATATTTCCTGCCTGATTTATCAATTCAAAAACGCAAAAGGATAATCAAACAAGCTCATTTCAAAGATGTGATCAACACAAAGACCAAAAAAAGGAATTGGTATGAATGGATAATGTAGCGTGTACTACCTTATCTATAGTAGTGCAGGTAATGTAGCACATACATCAAATACACCACAGCAAATGCAAGGGATTCAATCTAACTGGCATTAAACGCATGTGCAAATCGCCTGGTCGAAAACACAAATTGGCCCCCAAACTCACTCAAGAAATGGAGGCATTCCAAAAAAACAAAAGGGTTTTATGGAGGTTTCACCTCAGAAACTTTCAGGATACACCCTAGCCTTTGAAATGTACTCCGTTTCAGGTTATAAGACTTTCTAACATTGCCCACATTCATACAGATGTTAATGAATCTAGGCACACATATATGTCTAGATTCATTAGCATATATATGAATGTGGGCAATGCTAAAAAGTCTTATAAGATGAAACGGAGAAGTACTATTTTGTTGGTTCAGATAGAGAGACTAGCTTCTAAAGGAAGAAGGCTTTCGTGGCTGGCAGATGTTTTCTATGGTAGGATTTGTCAGGGAAGAGCAAGAGGATTTGGTGTTTCACAGTTTCTATTAAGCAATAATATATATCAAGTCTTTACCTTTCAAAACTTCATCACGCTAATTTATGGCCTCATCGTTTTAACTAAAGTTAATTAAACTCTCTCCCTATTTGTAACCGCCTAAAAAAAACTACACGGCATTAAAACAAATATTAGTGTGCAAAATTATTAAGCAGATTCTGAATTGCATTGCGAGAACATTCCATCTGTAGAGTGTTACTCCATTGTGGAAGGCATGGCTTACAGTAGTTTCAAAGATTAAGATATTTTAGATTTCTGTGAATATGATGACAATATCAATACAATAAATCTTACCCCACGAAGAAGCGCAATGCCGGTTGCTCATGATCTAAATTTAGAAGTGCGCCTTCATTATCTTTCAAAACTGAACCCAGTATTTCCTTCAGGAGATCAGGCAACTGCGCAAACAACCATAGAACTCCAAGGTACTTAAGGATGCCTCGCAAAACCTTCTTAAGAGCAGCAAGAGGAACCCAGCCACCACCATAGCCACCATCATCACCAAGCCCAATAAAAGCTGTGTTCAACTCTCCTTTCATATGAGCAGGAACGTTTCCAGGAGAAAGGTGCGCAGGAGCTCCAGCAATTCCTGAAGCAAATCCCGAAGGCATCATGGCATTGCCTGCACGACTCAAACTACTTGCTACCTGGTTAGCAACAGTTGAAGTTGGCCTAGCTACCCCAGGAGCACCACCAAAACGGTTAGGAGCAGAAGCTAATTGTTGGTTTCCAGAAACAGTGTTGGCACTGGCATTCAACGGTGGACCAGTATGTCTAGCATTCAGCAGATTTGGCTCCAGAGCATTTAGACCCTGTGCAACATGTTCCATTATGAAAGGTCGAAATTGTGGGCAAGGTAATGATCCACCAACTGAAGGTCCACCTTTAGGAGGTGTTGCTGGCTGAAGCCAGACCTGATCCCCAGCAAAGCAGCGCATGTCAACAGAGAACTTGTTGCGGTATATAATACGTATCCAGTAAGGCCCACGGAGCACAACAGAAACATCAAAAGGTAGCAAGGAGCTAGGAACTAGTCCAGGAGCAGTCCGTCCTGCAACAGACAGCATGGAAGAAGTCTGAAGCTGGCTGTTTGAATGTGCTACTGCAGCACCCTGCGGGACAGACATATTGTGCACAGTACTTGATGATAGACTGTTTGCTGATCCCGCTGTTGTAAGAATATTGTTTTGCTTTGGTAGAGCACTGTAACCGGCAGGAACAGTTACAGGCATCTTTGCAGGACGAATAGCGCCGCCAAGGGCAAGTAAAGGTCCTGCTGTGAGCCTGATGCAATCCAAGAATGATGCTATCTCATCCCCATTCACAAAATCTTCCAAAAACTGCATTATGTTAACATGGTTACAACAAAGAGCAAAATTTCATGTAAATATCAATTCTTTAGTAGAAAAAAAATGAATACTGTATTTGAAATTTAAAATTTCAAATGCCTCAGTAGCAAAGTACAAGTGTTTTGGTGCAACATGCTGATTGGGGTTTCACTCTTTTGCTAGCTAAATTTTGACATATCAAAACTGATTTGACTGAGAGATCACTTGAAATTGATCACAACTTTGTTTATTAACCAAACACCGGCACAATACAGATGAGGAAAATTTGGAGTCAGTTTAGTTCTCTACCTTACCAAAATTTGGTAGTCTCAAAATTTTGATATTGCCAAATTTTGGTGAGGTAGATATAGATTGATGTCTGGTTTGGTGACAAATTATGCCAATGTGGTACTGCCAAAATTTTAGTTTGGTGTAGTTTTGATACAATGTTTTCTTTCCTACCATACCACCAGAACTTTGATAGGTTAGCAAAAGAAACTGCCCCTTTAATAAACTGCATTTGGCAACTCAGGTTACAAAAGAAGCATGCTTTGGTTGAGTATCAACACTAGTTTGTTCCAAATAAAGTCAAACTTCAAACATATTTATCAGTAAAAGTACAGTAATGTATTTAGCAGAAAGTAGCTGTATGATTCAGTTGGATGAAAACATCTATATACATCACAAAGCAAATGCAGTACAACAATACACGGTTAGCACATCAAACAGTGTAACAAGGACATCAATACTCACTATCTTTTATCAATGTCAAATAAAAAAAAGTCGGGCAGCAAATTTTCAAAAAAGTTGTCCTAAATACTAGCACATGCAAAGTAGGCAGTAAATATAGATGTCAAAACCCAACCTTCGTGTGTGGCCATAGTTGATCTGGAGAAACTCGCATTGTGCAACCACTCTTACCGGTCTCCCATTCAACGACAAAGTAAACCATAGGCACAGCACCATAACTGAACCACAAGCTCATCAAACCAACAGCCTCAATTCTAAAAGTTTTCCTCATCTGTTCAGATAACCTGTCCCTGCTAGCTTTTCTTCTAGAGTGTAATTTTGTCTCTGCAGCTGTCTGATGCTCAGCTAGCTTGCCATCTAATTTTACACCGATCAATCTCCGCATTCCACAAGAAAATGCACGAGCATGTGAGAGGCGTTGTAAATCTGAGACAAGCCTCTGTATACTATCAGCCTCAACAGTGTTGTAAGTCAAGAGGACCCCATCATCATCAAAAGAGATATGTGAATCCACCTCAGATGTGTTTGCAACACGAACACCAGAACCCCATTCTGTAGTAGTGCTACCACCATGGAGTTTCCACAGTGCACCATAGTGTGGATCATTGATCCGAACATCCCAAGACATACTTCCAGCTTTACCAAGGTGTAAGCAAATATGTTTCCAGGAAGCATCGTGAGCAAAAGGTAAGCGCAACCAAAGATTAGAGGATGATGTCGGCATGCCCACTTCTTCTACATGTGGAATATTACGAGAATCCATCTGAGCAGTCAACTGAGCATATTTAATGCAAATTGAACAGTGCTTTATGACATGAAGAAGCACAGAGGAATAAATATTCGCTGTAATGCAATTATTTACTTCTTCAAGTAATTTTCCATAGGTGAGGGACGTCCTAGGTTGCATGTTGGGTGAATTAGCCTTCAAAGGAAGGCCATCCAGCATAAATTCTGACAGCTTTCTTCTCTTACCTGGCCCATCACCAATTATAGATTGCTTTGACGATGGGATATTTTGCAAGAACTCAGAAAGAGAACGCTTTTTATATGCACCTTCAGAGCGTGAACTGGAGACATTACCCAAACCTGCCAATTTCCATGGAAAAACATACAATAAGAATGCTACCTCATTATTAAATAATTGCATAAATAGCTACTTCAATATTTAGGAAAAACAAACTCTATCTTTATTTATTAGGGGCACGGGATGATAGTTTCTGGTCTATTTGGTACCATGTTCATGACCAAATTTACAAGGTGGCAACTTGTATAAATTACCTGCAGGAACTGAACCAGAGAAGGCACTTGTACTTTGTGCATTCTTTGAATTACTGAGCAGATAATTGTTCAAACCAGTACCAGAAGTAACTTTTGCAGCATTAATGTTAGATTGTAGAGACCCATAATCTTGATCAGGTGAGCCAGCTCCACCACTAAACCCATGAAGACCAACTTGATAACTCGAATGACTAGAGGGTAAACTATTGGGTGGGAGTCGTTGACTTTCTGTTATTGGAGAACCTCTGTCACATCGAAATACTTCATCAACAATGGAAAAAAATGAAGGTCGTGCAGGAAGAGGCTCATCAGCTCCACTTTGTCTTTGAGGTCTATCTTCCACATTTTGTAGCGCCAGTAATTTATCTTTATCAAAAAAATTGCCAATTTGCACATCTTCATCTATTTTTAATTTGTTAATGTCAATCCTGATAAACCTTATAGCTTCTTTAGCATCAGTAGTTGCATCAGCATTATTATTGTCACCTTCATTACTTTGTATCTCAAGCAAACAAAAAACAGGCTTAAAGCTCTTATCAAGTTGCATCAACAGATAATAGGCATTTGCGCATTGAGGAAATCCCATGACCATGAATTCTGAGCCACATAGTATTGACTTCGCAATCTTCAGAGTAACTTGCGACTGAGAGTAAACCTGGAATAACCATCAGAAAAGTATAATTTAGTTCTCCCTCCAGTCACAAAGAATGATGTTTTGGACAAATCCACATCACCTTCATGCACACATACAGATATTAATCTACGATAGACAAAGATTCCAGAGCACAAATCTACTGTGTATCCTGAAACAGAACTCCTTAGTGACCAGAGATGTATCTTCGACTGGCATAGCAAGAAAAATTTAAGAAAATTCTAACAATTGCTCAACAGGGATGCCAGATTATAAGATTTACAATATGTAGTGGAAGTGTGGGACATAAAAGGAAAAAGTTCTAAAATATTGAAGACGCTTAACTGCCAATCTGCCACATCCACGTTCACTTGTACATCAAATTTCGCTAAGAATGGTGCGTATGAAGCATTGACTTTAGACCATACTATAAGTTGAAGAGAATGCACTTAACAATAGGTATACTTGCCTCACAGAACTACAGAATGTAGTAATATTTTCCACATAATCCCACATATTTTAACACCAACTAGAGACTACCGCAATCTTTCTCTGGTTTAAGATGAACAGGAACCATTATGACACGGTGCAGAAGGCCAGACTGAAACTGAACAGTGACACCTAATTTCATCTAATCAAAAACCTCTGTCCAGAGATTTGCAGCCCAGTATATTCAAGTTACTGCTATAATTGTTCTCATTGCAAAATTGTTCTCAAGGCAAGACTGTCAACATATGTTGCCCTAGATCATGCTCCCAGTACATATAGCAAAATGGTTCTAATTGCAAGGTGTAAATAACATGAGACGAACTAGGCAGCTGCCTGGGTGGGAAATATCAGATCAGTGGCCTGAGCAAGGGGCTGGCCCCTAGCCTCAGGTGACCTCCAAAAAGAATTATGACATCGAGATCGTTGTGCTGACACAATGAGTAGCATCTCACGGAGACATCCTATAAGCTATGCCCTCAGTATAAAACTGTTAACGAGAAAACTATTCAATAATTAATAAAATAAGACAAAAGAAGCTCTACAATATTTTTCACACAGGAAAAATCTACTTTATGCCCCCTCATCTCTTCCCATAGTTTACTATTCACTGCTCAATCCTTAAACTGGATAAAGGAACCACCTATTTTAATACCAGAAAATCACACCCAGAGCCAAAAAGACGGTTTGCACAAAATTCACTGCCACAGTGGCCCTAACACCATGCCAGCACAGGGGTAGGCACTCATAACTGTTTCTCTCCCTCTCCCATTTTCTCTTCCCACTGTTGGATAAGTCTTTGTGATCCTTGGTCATGATTCTTCTTTTTGCTTTTGGGTAATTTCACCTTTTCAGGACAGCATCTACCCCTTTAGCATATTTTTCAGTTGCTAGGACAGCTGCGGTTAGTAGGACAGCAGCAGTTAGCATCTCCTTTATGCCTCCTTTATGCTTTATTCAGTTTGGATGCCCTCTAGGACAGCATCCCATTCAAATTTCGAATTTTAGACTAGGAGGGTGCAGCAATAGGCTAGCAGCCAGCTATGGCTATATATATGTATCCAACCTCCCTCGGGTAGGTATGGCTTTTGAGTTTGTGAATGAAGAAAACCAGAAAATTGCCCCACTCTGAGTGCCATCCTCTTCTCAATGAGAGTAACCATTGAAGTTCTAACATCTGGTATCAGAGCCACACTTTCCTGTAGGCTAAACATCTCTTGTTCCACCCCTTCCCAAGCTCGGTTGAGCTCTCAGCCAGCAGCAGTAGCAGCACCGACTGCTCCTCCTTCCCCTTTCCCTTCCCCCTCTCCACGCAGCAGCCCCCCGGAGGTGCGCCATGTCCGACGTTCGGTCTCGGCGTTCAATCGCCTCGAGCACTCGACGTCAGCAGGACGCCGAGCTCGCCGCAGCAGAAGAGCGCAGAAGAGCGCAGGCGAGCAACGGCTCAGACCGCTGCAGCAGCAGCGAGGGCGGCTAGACTGGCGGCAGCAGAGTTGGCAGCAGCCAGGGCGGAGGCGGAAGCAGAGGCGGCGGAAGATGCGGCATGTGCGGCGGAGGTAGAGGTTGAGACCTTGCGCAGTAGCATCAACGGCTCCATCGCCGGCGACATCACCGCCGACAGGGAGCTTGAGGAGCTGGCAAGAGGTAGGGCACGGGAGCGGGCAGAGCGGTGGGCAGCAGCCCACCTCCAAGGCGGCGGCGGCGGCCCAAGGGACCGCGCGCCCGCCGACGGGAACCCTCGCAGGCAGCGCGGCTCTCCCTCCCCTGACCGGCGCCATGGCCACCACGGCGTCCAGACGGTGGTCAGGGACTTTGGTCCTGGCGGTGGGTGGCCTACCCTCACCAAAACCAACTACATCGAGTGGGCCGCGGTGATGAGGGTGAGGCTCCAGGTGCGGCACATGTGGGAGGCAGTCCGGTACGGCGACGTCGACTACGACAAGGATCGGCGAGCACTGGATGCCCTCATCGCTGCAGTCCCGCCCGAGATGCAGTTCTCGCTTTCCCAGAAGCGGACTGAAAAGGAGGCCTGGGACGCCATCGCTGCGGCACGCATCGGCAGCGACCGCGCCCGCAAGTCCACACTACAGGCACTCCGCAAGGAGTGGGAGAACCTGGCCTTCAAGCCAGGTGAGGATGTTGATGACTTTGCCCTCCGTCTCAACACTCTTTTGCAGAAGATGGTGCAGTACGGCGACGACACCTACGACGAGGAGAAGCTCTTTCGCTGCGTCCCAGAGAAGTACAGGCAGATCGCTCGAGTCTCTGCTGGACCTCTCCACGATGTCGATCGAGGAGGCGTTAGGTCGCCTCAAGGTCGTCGACGGCGATGAGCCACAGCCTCTCTCGGGGCCTATCACCATTGGCGGGAAGCTCCATCTCACTCGGGAGCAGTGAGAGGCCAGCCAGGGTGACGGGAGGAAGGGGGAGTCCTCTCCCTTGATAGGCGGCCGCAAGCCGCGCAAGGCGCGCGGAGGCGTCCAGCTGCGGTGGGCGTGAAGACGCGCCGAGGGTGGCGCTCGCAGAGGCGCCCAGGGCGGCGCCGCTGGCAACCACAAGCCGGCACGAGACTACGCCTGCCGCAACTGTGGCAAGCTTGGCCATTGGGCCAAAGACTGTCGACAGCCACGACGCGGCCAGGCCCACGTCGCACAGGTGGAGGAAGAGCCGGCTTTGCTCCTGGCACACGCCAGCATCGAGCTATCTTCAGCGGCACCGGCCGCAACGGCTTTCCTCCACCTCGAGGAGCCGAAGGTACACGCCTCCTCGGCAACAGCTCCAGCAACGACAAGGCTGATGGGTGGTACCTCGACACCGGCGCCACCCATCACATGACTGGCCAACGGGAGTTGTTCACCGAGCTTGACTCCAGCGTCCGAGGCTCCGTCAAGTTTGGGGATGCCTGCAGCGTGGAGATCAAGGGCGTCGGCTCCGTCACCTTCACCGCCAAGTCCGGTGAGCACAGGCTGCTCACCGGAGTCTACTACATCCCCGCGTTGAGAAACTCTATCATCAGCGTGGGACAGCTGGATGAGAACGGCTCACGCGTGTTGGTCGAGCACGGAGTCATGAGGATTTGGGATCGCCGCCGTCGCCTTCTTGCCAAAGTAACCAGAGGCACTAATCGACTCTACATCCTCAACGCGCAGGTCGCACAACCAGTTTGCCTCACCGCTCGTCGGGACGACGAAGCGTGGCAGTGGCACGAGCGTTTCGGGCACCTCCACTTTGAGGCCCTGAAGCGGCTCAGTGCCAAGGAGATGGTGCGAGGCCTGCCATGCCTTGACCACGTGGAGCAGCTCTGCGACGTCTGCATCCTAACGAAGCAGAGGCGGCTCCCCTTTCCCCAGCAGACGAGTTTCCGAGCCAAGGAGCGGCTCGAGCTCGTGCACGGGGACTTGTGTGGCCCAGTGACACCGGCCACACCAGGAGGACGACGTTACTTCCTGCTGCTCGTCGATGACCTTTCCCGCTACATGTGGGTGATGGTCCTCGGCAGCAAGGGAGAGGCTGCGGACGCCATCCGGCGCGCGCAGGCTGCTGCAGAGGCGGACTGCGGCCGCAAGCTGCGCGTGCTGCGCACCGACAACGGCGGCGAATTCACGGCGGCTGAATTCGCGTCGTACTGCGCTGATGAGGGCATTCAGCGCCACTACACCACGCCGTACAGCCCGCAACAGAACGGCGTCGTCGAGCGGCGCAACCAGACGGTTGTGGGGATGGCTAGGGCTCTCCTCAAGCAGAGGGGGATGCCAGCCATCTTCTGGGGAGAGGCGGTGGTGACGGCCGTCTACATCCTCAACCGCTCGCCTACCAAGGCCCTCGATGGCAGGACACCGTACGAGGCTTGGCATGGGCGCAAGCCGGGGGTCTCCCACCTGCGGGTCTTCGGCTGCCTCGTGTTCGTCAAGGAGCTTGGCCCCATCGGCAAGCTCGACGACAGGAGCACCCCAGGGGTGTTCATCGGCTACGCGGAGGGCTCGAAGGCCTATCACATCCTCAACCCGGAGACAGCGTGTGCGCGCGACGTAGTGTTCGACGAAGGGCGAGGGTGGGTATGGGACAAGGCGGTGGACGATGGTTCGACTCCGACGTACGACGACTTCACCGTCGAGTACGTCCACTTCGAGGGAGCTGGGGAAGTAGGCAGCTCTTCTTCACCAAGCGTATCTACCCCAGTCCCCGAGCCTCCACCGACTCCGACACCAACATACCCTCGGGCCACGGCTTCGACTGCGACGAGCTCTTCGCCGACACCACCATAGTCGGCAACCCCACGCGCCCCAGCACCAACAACCACTCCTCCGAGCACGTCTACTCCGACGCCAGCTCGTGTTGAGCGCAGCCCGGTGGAGTTCGCTACTCCGCTCTCCCACGACGGGGAGCGCATCGACGCGTACCACGACGGCGAGCAGCTACGGTACCGTACGATGGAGGATCTTCTCGGCGACCAGCCGGTGCCGGGACTGGTGCCTCGCAACCTGGAGGCGCAGTTGCACCTTGCGTGCGACGACGGTGAGCCTCGGTCTTTCGCAGAGGCCGAGAAACACGCGGCATGGCGTGCCGCGATGCAGTCGGAGATGGACGCGGTTCAGGAGAACCGCACCTGGGAGCTTGTTGATCTCCCTCGTGGTCACCACGCGATCACCCTTAAGTGGGTGTTCAAGCTGAAGAGGGATGAAGCCGGAGCCATCGTCAAGCACAAGGCTCGCTTGGTGGCACGCGGTTTCGTGCAGCAGGAGGGGATCGACTACGACGATGCCTTCGCTCCCGTGGCACGGATGGAGTCCGTGCGACTCCTTGCGCTGGCTCCTCAGGAAGGCTGGGGCGTCCATCACATGGACGTCAAGTCGGCGTTTCTGAACGGCGACTTGAAGGAGGTCTACGTGCACCAGCCGCCGGGATTTGTGATCCCCGGCAAGGAGGGCAAGGTGCTACGCCTGCACAAGGCCCTCTATGGCTTGCGGCAGGCACCGAGGGCGTGGAATGCCAAGTTGGATTCCACGCTCAAGGGGATGGGCTTCGAGCAAAGCCCGCACGAGGCGGCCATCTACCGGCGGGGCAATGGAGGAAATGCCTTGCTGGTGGGTGTCTACGTCGACGACTTGGTGATCACCGGCACCAAGGATGCGGAGGTCGCGGCGTTCGAGGAGATGAAGGCCACCTTCCAGATGAGTGATCTAGGGCCTCTCTCCTTCTACCTAGGGATCGAGGTGCACCAGGACGACTCCGGGATCACGCTTCGACGGACCACCTACGCCAAGCGCGTCGTTGAGCTGGCTGGGCTCACCGATTGCAACCTAGCTCTCACTCCGATGGAGGAGACTGAAGCTGAGCCGCGATAGCACGACGGAGGAAGTGGATGCTACACAGTACCGGCGTCTTGTGGGGAGCCTTCGCTACCTCACCCACACACGGCCGGACTTGGCCTTCTCCGTCAACTACGTCAGTCGGTTCATGCAGCGACCGACGACGGAGCACCAGCGGGCTGTGAAGAGGATCATCCGCTACGTTGCGGGGACTCTCGACCACGGTCTCTACTACCCGAGGTGTCCTGGCAAGGCACACTTCGTCGGGTACAGCGACAGCGACCACGCCGACGACATCGACACCAGCAAGAGCACGAGCGGGATTCTCTTCTTCCTCGGCGAGTGCCTCGTTAGCTGGCAGTCGGTCAAGCAGCAAGTGGTGGCCCTGTCCAGCTGCGAGGCCGAGTACATGGCGGCCTCCGCCGCTTCGACCCAGGCGCTCTGGCTTGCTCGACTGCTTAGTGATCTCCTCGGCAGAGACACTGGAGCGGTGGAGCTCAGGGTGGATAGCAAGTTCGCTCTGGCCCTGGCAAAGAACCCCGTTTTTCACGAACGGAGCAAGCACATCCGGGTGAGGTACCACTTCATCCGAAGCTACTTGGAGGAAGGGAGCATCAAGGCGAGCTACATCAACACCAAGGACCAGCTTGCGGACTTGCTCACCAAGCCTCTTGGGAGGATCAAGTTCCTCGAGCTCTGCTCCAGGATCGGGATGGCCCAACTTCCCCACAAGACGACGCACAAGACTTAGGGGGAGAATGTTGGATAAGTCTTTGTGGTCCTTGGTCGTGATTCTTCTTTTTGCTTTTGGGTAGTTTCACCTTTTCAGGACAGCATCTACCCCTTTAGCATATTTTTCAGTTGCTAGGACAGCTGCGGTTAGTAGGACAGCAGCAGTTAGCATCTCCTTTATGCCTCCTTTATGCTTTATTAAGTTTGGATGCCCTCTAGGACAGCATCCCATTTAAATTTCGAATTTTAGACTAGGAGGGTGCAGCAATAGGCTAGCAGCCAGCTATGGCTATATATATGTATCCAACCTCCCTCGGGTAGGTATGGCTTTTGAGTTTGTGAATGAAGAAAACCAGAAAATTGCCCCACTCTGAGTGCCATCCTCTTCTCAATGAGAGTAACCATTGAAGTTCTAACACCCACTCTTCTGCCCCAAATACCTAAACGCATAGCCGTGACAAGGATGGTGACTTGGTGAGTGGCTTATCCACTATGTTGACATGGAACAAAATCATCTTGCGTATTGGACTCGGGGGTATAAATAATAATCTATTGGTATTGAAATTTGAGGGATCGATTTTTATCCAGATTCAGAGTTGAGGGGTGAAAACTGAATTTCCGAAAGAGTTGAGGGGAGTAGTAGACTTTGACCTAGTAATTGGGCCAAGATTTTTGGTACATTTTACTACCAAATGTAAAATTTCAATGAATTTGGATAGACTGATTCAGATGTGGATATGAAGACTAGATTCAATCCAGAAAGTATTTTAAGAAAATAGTTTAGCCAAATCAACAAATTGCTGGGCTTGAGAAAATGATTAATGCAAGACTAAGTATGACAGCATATATCTCATAGGAACTCTGTTCAATAATTTATTCATAACAGAAATGATTGTTTGTATTTAGAAAGTGTTTAAATTTAATCGTGTGCAAGATTATCTGAATCGCCCATGCTCTAAATTTTCAGTATTAAAGAAGAACGTAGAAATAAACTCTAAGAGCTGAAAAGTGAAAATACAAGGGGAAGGAATAACAAGGCAAGTTAATGAGACAACCTTTAGGCCCAAAGAACTTCCAGTGGCAGCAAATAAGTGGAGGATGCTTCTGGTCCTTAAACTCACAAAAACATCAGTTGCTGTTGTACTCCCCTTGTTCAGAGCTTCCTCTGAGTCTAACACTGCTGAAGGTGGCAATATATTCCCCAGTGACTGGAGGAGAAAGCGACCATTCCTATGTAGAAACAAAAAAGCTACATGATTTGGAAAGGAAACTGACCATGGAATAAATATAGGGATTAGATACAGTTCACAAAATATCTTATTATTCCCACCTTCATAATATCGTGCCCAAAATGGCTTATGCCTACAGATTAATGTGCTCTCTATTTTTGTGAAAAAATGAACACATTGATGCATGCTACACCTATTGAAGGGAACTCTTAACCGCATATGACTCCCTCCTAATATCGGTAGAAATTGGAATAAAAAGAAGTCATCACTGCACCTTGCAGGACAGCAGGAAAATAGACCTTTCACTACAAATCAAGTCATATATGCTCCTTAAAAGTCATACTGATATCCACATTGACATCGTTACCACTTACCATGACACATTGTTAAGGTATTTAACCATAACTGTAATGGCGTTACCTACACACCTAATTGGCAGGCAGCAATCACCAGAAGGCTCCATCTCATGTGTGTGTGCTTGATGGGGATGGAGGTTTGGAAGAAAGGCAAATCGAGATGAGATGCACCCTAACCACTGTTGATGGTCCTCCATTTCTATCACTGTCAAAAGTTTGCCGTTGTATCCTTCCACAGCCCTCATGGGCAGATTGTGGCTTGATAAACGAAGGAGATCTTGAGGGAGGAGATGACCAGTGGCTGGAGACAATAAGAGCACCCACATATACAGCATATCAAGAAGAGGTACTAGGGCTTTATAAGGATGAGGGCGAGAGAGAAGGGAAAGGGGACAGGAGGAGAGGAGAGAGGAACTGAGGAAGGAAGAGGAGGTTGCCAGCAATGAAATTCAGCTTCTTGCAAGGGGAGCCTATGGTTTGGCAAAGGGAGAGAAGATACGAGGTAGGAAATTAAGGGAAGAGAAAAGAAGATCGTTTCATCCATAGAACAATGATTTGCCAATTTCAAAGAATTCCACAAAATTCTGAGGGACCAATTCACACCACAGATTGGACCAAAACTTCCCATCTATAATACTACGCCACATTTTTCCCTGTTTCTTTCTCCTCTTCCATTCCCCTTGTACTGCCATTTAAGCCCGACTGATGCATCTTGCCATCAAACACCTTTGCTCCCTTCCCCTTCTTATACGGTTATACCCATCTCCCACCCAATGGTGTCGACCTCCTATTCATGCCAGCCACAGTGGCGGAGCAAGCATTGCTGTGAAGCCCAGTCGACTAGTAGCATTTTCCGATGACCAACTGATTTTTCTACGCGTCGATGGCTAACAGCAATGGAGACAGAAGCCAGCCACCGCCCACTCCCAGCGTCAACCTCCCACACTCACTCACTGCCTCTTACTCGCCGTCACCTTCTGCACTCATCGGTGGCCTCCTCGCCAGCACTGACAACCGTGCTCAACCTTCAGCACTCCTCCTGCCTGCTGGTCGTCTCCTGTACCAGCATCAACCTCCCACACAGCCACACTTGTCGGCTGCCTCCTGCCGTCAATTAGCCACATCCATGGCAAGGAGAGAAGATTAAGGATTTAAGGTTAAGCACGGTTTTTTAACACAGCCAACTACTGGCTCCAATTATTAGACATGTCATATATAGTTAACACTATAGCTAATATATACAATAGAGAAATGTTATATTTACTGCAACATAACTTTATTATTTTTGTGGGGCCCACCATGTTCTCTCTTTCTTCCTCCCACTTCCTTTCCTTCCAGTGTTCTTTCTCTTTCCTTTTCAATGGCTCCAGGAACAAGGTCTTCTACAGATATCTTCCTCCCATTCCTTCTGGTCTTCTTCCCCTTTCACTTTTCTTCTTGATTAATCGGTGAAGTCAGCGACCAACAGAGCGCAAGGGCAGTGGCTAGCTGGCTGCAGGGGTGGATGGTGGCGGAGGAAAGATTGGACCTCGCTTGTTGGGGCGCCGGCCGCGATGGACACCGTCAGAGGCTGGGATGTATGAGCGGCACACAAGCGGAGGTCAGGGAGGATGACGGCCATGGTCCGGTAGACGCAGGAGACGATGAAGGCTAGGGTGGTCGAGGACCACAATACGACAGACGCGAGAGACAGCGTCAGCCACGATGGACGGCGAGCAGCGATTTGGTGGACACAAGGCAACGGCGACGGTCGGGGTGGCGAGGGCGTTGGCCCAGCGAACGCAGGCGAGAGGAGCAGCCATGGCGGATACAGGAGGCGTTGGGTTGCTCCTCCATCTACGGGGCCCACGACATCGGCAACGCGTGGAGCCGGGCGACAAATTAGTCGCCCGCTGGTTTCCTCTCTCTTTCCCTCTCTCTTCCATGTCATCCAAAATTTCTACATGGAACTATTGTCGCCAATTATTGTACCCGCTCTAATCTGTAAGAGTTCACGATGTATCAAGATGTGCAAATAGAACCTCATGATGCCATGGTATTTATCTTATGTTGTTGTCAATTATTTTAAACTATGGCCGTTAATATATTTATGACAATACAGGTATCTTGATTTACCATATGGAGACTGTGTCAACACACTTACCAAGATTACAATACTTTCATAATGTAGAATGTTTGGAACTTTTACTAATGTATTGCTAGAGAAACAATAAAGTCACGGTTAAGCTACATTAACAGAGTACACGAAATAAAACAAAATTATATAACATCATGCGGATGTAAGGTCAAGAAAAATTAAGATATAAAGTATAAACATGGAGAAGAAATAAATAAACAATTAACAAACCTGATATTTATTCCAAGGTCAATATATGATTGTCCATATGCCCTAACTTGAAGCATTTCATTTGTACAACAATCATTGGAGTCTCTTCTATGTACTCTCTACACAATTTATGAATATAGTCAGTGCATCAAATATCAAAAACACAAGGTGGCTGCAGTAATACCCTTAATTAGAACAGCCCACAAGGTACCTTCTGAAAGCCCTCTCCATGAACTTCTCGCTTCAGGATAACCTCAGTGGATGATTGTGACATCTGAACATTTTTCATCAATTCCCTTTGAATTTCCAGAAGACGTGTGTGCCTATTGCAAGCAATTGCTTTCAAAATTAGAGCTTCAACATCAATGCAACTCAGATCAATAGAAAGATCAGCTTCTTTATCTGTAAATGGATCCAATACGAAAGAGCTGTGCTGACACTTTATCTGCATATCTTGCCCTGCCTCAATTTTAATATATGGAGATGAATCTGATTCAGCTGAAGCATTGTTTTTTTCCTCTAGCCAGTAATTAATTTTCAGACCAGGTATCCTAGACCCACTTGAATCAAGCTCCCCATCTTGACCAAGCTGCATTACAGCATTACTTCCACCTTGTCCTGTGCCGATATCTGAGATAAGTTCAGATTTTATCGCATCTTTCCACCTGCCCTGTCGTAGAACATTTGTCTGTCTAATTACAGTATCCATAACAAGTGAAATACATAGTTCATGGAGTATTGTATACAAAATCATGAAAGGATTGTCAGCCACAGCCATTCTCCGTTCAATATCATCACCAAGAGCATATCTCCTTGTCTCTTCAAGCTTAATTGGCCCAGCCTTCTCACCAACAAGTAACTCCATGTGCAATATCCTCCATAGTGAGAAATGCCCACGGTAACCTAATGTAATAAGAACTTTAAATTCTCCATCTACCTGAACATTGGCTATTCCATCAGTCACCGAAACCTCAGATATTTCCTTAGGAAGTGAGATTTCAAGTAACTTAGCCCGTACAAGGGTGCTTAATTTCTTCAAAGTAGGCTTTTGTTCATCTTGAAAAAGTGTGTTCTGAGTACCAATTTCCTCAACACATTTTGGCACTCTCCTATAACTCCCTGTGTGTAGGACTTCTATAGCAGATGGAACATCAAAAATGGGAGCGCGGGCCTGTTGCAACCCTTCATGCATAAAGAACAGCGAATCGGCTGTTTGGGTGAAGCATGTCTCATGGCTAGAGAGGGTTGATGCAAGTTGCTGGCAATAATGAACCAAAGGAACCTGCAAGAAACAGCAATGATCGCAATCATGAAATTCAGGAAATATGACATTCGGATGGCATGCGCATGAAGCTATAGTTTTCTATTGTATTACTTGTTTAACAGATAATACCTATTCTTATGATACTTGGCTGAAATTATTACACGCTATGTAATGCAGAAGTGGCAGACGCAGGATTTTTGCGATGGATGTTCAAGACATGCATACATAGTGGTATTTAAAGAAAAAAATTAATGTCGCTAGTACAAAAGATGCAAGTTTTTTAAGAGTAAATTGCATTTTGCACCGTATAGAATGTACCGTGTTTCACTTTGCACCAGGTTTAGTATATCTCACTACTATGGTATTTTGAAATAAGTTTCAGCGTGAACTGGGTTGCATGGTATAATCGGAGGAAAATCCTGTAAAATGTGAATGAAGAAAACTTACGGGGCTTCTTGAGTTTAGGACATATGCTTCACAAAGTTTCATTCAGATCTTATGAAATTTCTAGGGGTTCGATGATGTGTCCCAGTGTGTGAAATTTATTTCAATACACCCTGGTGTAAAGAGAAAATATACGCTAAATCTGGTGTAACGCGAAATAAAGTACATTTTACCTGGCACAAAGTGCAATTTACTCTTTCTTTAGTTCAAGAATGGCCTTTTTTGGAAAGTACTGATGCAAGTCTTACAAAATATGACAAGTTTCTCAAACCCTACCAGGTGAGAAAGAGAGAGAGAGAGAGAATACAAAGATAAAGCTTGGGAATCGAACCCACAACCTAATGATTAAAGCATATGCATGGCCTAACCAATACAGCAAAAATCACCTTCTTCACTACATAAAAGACGCACAAAATATATGGGTAGCTGAATACCTATGAACGTTGGTGCGTGAGCCCCTGTAATGCACTCTGGACGCACGCGCACACACACCAGTCTATCCTATTGCAAAGACAGCTGTTATGTGTGGGAGCTGAAGCATCTAGGGTGAACAATTTTTTTCCTACTGATTGAGGATATCAGGTGCAATGTGCAAGTGTCATAAGAGTTAGTAAAATCACTGCACCAGATTAACTGCAGTGTCCAATCTCCGGAATACTTTTTTTTGTCAGTTTGTTCTGATTTTGAGTTTAAGCTTAAAGCTCGCACACTGTAAAACAACATGATTCTAAGCATTTCACAGAACACGGGAAATTAATATTAATCAGGACCTGCAGCAAAGTGTGCACACACAACTAGTTACTTGAATGCACAGAACATAACAACTCAAAAGGTAAAACTGTAATTTGTAAAAGCCTCTGCTGGTTACTAAACTCTCTTGAGAGTTAAATACTTCCTAGCCAACTTTTAATGGAATAGACTAGGAACACGAAGAAGGCTATTAAACAATAAAAGGCACACAAGGATTCTTAAATTTTTAATAGTCCGGAATAAGTTATGGACAATTATTTCCTACTACAGTAGGATTTTCTTCCCGGATACAACAACACTCTAAAAGGTGCCGCCTTCACTTTTAGCTCCGATAAGGTAGACAACACCTCAGTATGCTGGAACAATCAGGGCTAAATCTTTAAAACAATGCTTCAGGACACAGTACTACAGTTAAATTAAAGTTCTTATTGAACAAATAAGGTCCGTTACAATTAATACATACAATTGGTTTGAACTAAATTAGCAGCCGGTTTAGACGCCGCAAATCTAAACTTTGGCGGACCTATCCTATAGCCACACCTCTCAGTCTCTAATTAAATGATAGCTTTTTCGCGAAATCGGACAGAAAAAGGAAGCTATAAAAGGGGATCAATGGACAGTTGCAAACCTGCTGGCACCACTTGGCGAGGACATGGAGCCGGAGCATGCGCTGGCGGGTGCGGTCGATGAACTTGAGCAGGTCGATCTTCTTCTCGGTGTCCGACCTCTGCTGCCCGTTCTTCCCCTCGGCCTCCACCCGCGACTTCTCCACGAGCTCCCGCAGCGCCAGGTACGAATCCTCCGCCGCCCGCCGCACCACCGCGCCTAGCTCCACCGTCTGCTGCCCTAGCTCCCCCGCCATCGCCCCCCACCCAAGTCCCCCTAGGGTTTGGCGGAAGGTATCTCCCCCTCTCTCTCACTCTCCAACGCCCCCCAAGGTCGCGCTCTAATTAGGGTTCCCCGAGAATTCTAGACCCCCGGGGACATGCGGAGCAGCCGGGCGGCTGGGGGCGGCCGCCCCCTAGGGTTCCCGCTGCTCCTCCTCCCGGAGCCCACCAGTGGAACGGGGCGGCGAGGCTACCGCAGGAGGTTGAGAGGGGAGAGGGAGGGGGAGAGCGACGTGGGGTCGCCGCCTTGGGGTTCTTCGGGGGCGGGAGGGTCGAGAAGGTTCTGGAAGGTGGAGGAGGGGGAGGAGGAGGATCACGAGGCGGCGGGAGAAGGAGATATGGGGGCTACTCGGTTCCGCGCCGCGCTGCCGCTTTCCCCCTCGCGAAGTCGCGAGCTGCTGGGGCCTGCGGGTGAGGGGGACGGCGGTGGTCTGGTCAGACGGGGAAAGCCGCGTGCCGTCTTCGTCCAGTAGACTGGTAGTAAAAGGCTAAGGACACCCATAATGGTTATCTATAGGTTCTCTATAAGAGATCCATGTCAGTATATTTTTCACTTGGAAGAGATTAAATGAAAAGAGAGAGAGCAAAGCTATCTACTAACCTAGAGATAGTCTATAGAGAAAAACGAGGCAATGCATTAGAGAGCTATAGATACCCATGTAGACATACTATTGAGGTGGTTTACTATTAATCTAGTCTATTGCTGAGATGTACATGTTTTATAGAGAGCACCTTACTTTACCATTGCGGGTGCTCTAAGGGCACCCACAATGGTTATCTATAGACTCTCTAGAAGAGATCCATGTCAGCATATTTTTCTACTTGGAAGAGATTAAATGAAGAGAGAGAGCAAAGCTATCTACTAACCTAGAGATAGTCTATAGAGAAAAACGAGGCAATGTATTAGAGAGCTATAGATACCCATGTAGACATACTATTGAGATGGTTTACTATTAATGTAGTCTATTGCTGAGATGTACATGTTTTATAGATAGCACCTTACTTTACCATTGCGGGTGCTCTAAGGCTGTGTTCTTACCTCGTTTTTCGCACGCACGCTTTTCAAACTGCTAAACGGTGAATTTTTTTAAAAAAAATTATATACGAAAGTTGCTTAAAAAAATCAAATTAATCCAATTTCAAAAAAAAATAGCTAATACTTAATTAATCATACAATAATGCATGCTCCGTTTTACGTACCGGGGAGGAGCTCCTCCCGAACGCAGCCTAAATGTTGGAGGTGATACTGCGGACTCATCAAAGGCAACAATGACGATACTCCTTATTTTACTGTGGATATATGTATAAATATATGTTATGTATTATAAAAATAGTAGATATATATAATACTTTTATATTGAGTTCTAAAAATACAACAAAATTGTAAATGATATGTCATGTTTGCATGATATTACTTGCATATTTCGATATTTTTTTCTTGTTAAACTTCTTTATTGATATTTTGATATTGTGCAAAGAATGGCCTTCTATATCAAAATCAAATTAATCTAATTTAAAAAAAAAATAGCTAATACTTAATTAATCATGCAATAATGCGTGCTTCGTTTTGCGTGCCAGGGAGGAGCTCCTCCCGAACGCAGCCCAAATGTTGGATCAACACCTCAACGGGTGATACTGCGGACTCATCAAAGGCAACAATGATGATACTCCTTATTTTACTGCGGATATATGTATAAATATATGTTATGTATTATAAAATTAGTAGATATATATAATAGTTTTTACATACTTTTATATTGAGTTCTAAAAATACAATAAAAAATAATATATCATGTTTGCATGATATTATTTGCATATTCCGATATTTTTTTCTTGTTAAACTTCTTTATTGATATTTTGATATTGTGCAAAGAATGGCCTTCTATATTTTACCATTCGATTGACTAGCATTGTGCACACACAAAATGTATAATTGAGTTTGAATTTGACGAGATCTCATATAATTGAGCTAACCCAAGGGAAGTATATTCTATGGTGGGAGTTATTTTACCGGGTGTGTCAAGTTAATTATACCACATCAGTTGTGCAGGTAAGTTTAGAGCAGTTTAAAAGCTTATCATCAAACACGTCAATTACTGTGAGGTAAGTGTGGTGAGCAATATTACATGTATATGGACTTCTATACATGACTAATATAAAGGAATGTAGGAGATGGAAGTCCAATTTGTTATTGAACCAGAGCCACTAGTGCCTATATGCTAGTACTATTTTGTGACCTTATTTTGTACAAGTCAATTATCTTTAAAACAGAATTTGTAATAAATCATCATTTATTGTTTGATTATTTTCAACAAATTTTAATAAATAAACTAAGTTAAACTTACCATTTAAAATTAGTCTATTTGGTTGCAGTTTGCACATATTATGGTGCACTTGCAATGCCTTGCCACATCTAATTTGTTACAAATAGGATTGAAGCTTTTTTAGCCGATGTTTAAATTTATTTGTTGGTTTTAGCGTAGATTGGTAGCAATGGACATCAGTCACCCGCGTAGTACCACCCACCAACAAAATTTTGAATTATACCTTACCCGCCGCCTTATTTCCTTTCCAACTCTCAAAGCATTCGAGAACCGCTTGTTTTCTCAGAGCATGGATTTGGCTCAGGTACTTGGAGTGAAAAGAGGGAAGAAGTCGGAAGAAGAAGCACCCGAAGAGATAGATGGAAAGCTGCGTGTTAGCGGTAAGGAAGGAGGCATTGGAAAGAGTAGGCCAGACACATTAATTAGTGCAAGAAAGAGACATAGGTATTTGGGGGGGGGAGAGAGAGAGAGGGTCAGAGGGCTTCTTTCGCATCTGAAGATGTGCGAAAAAGTCTAGATTTCATGTTTGTATTTTTTTTTATAAATACGCTCTCTATCTAGGAGTGCATGCTAACTTATGCTATATAGATGAGGAACATTTTTTTTATATTTTGAGGATATATTTTTCCATTTTTAGTTTGGACTTCATCCTCTCCATATGCATGCATTACGTAAATTTCATATAGCTAAAAGTTTTACACCAATAAAAAATCAAAGAAGGATCATCAAGATTTTTTTTATGGAAAAGACACACACATTTCTCGTTTAAAGAGTTTATTTTTTCTAAGGCATTGTATCTCTATGTCACCTACCGACTAAGGATCCTCCGCCATAATAGTGCTGCCATTACAACCATCAATTTTAGGGGTCCTACCCTTTTACAAGCCTACACGTCACTACTACATGTAATGACAGTGTCACTATGGCAGGATGTGCGCCCCCGCCTTCCCCCACTCCCTTAAAGTTTTTCTGCCTTGATATATGTAGGCATACACATGTTTTTTACATGATCTTTAGTAAAAGTTTACGGTCGTTCTACATGGGTACATATAAATGATCCATTGATCTCGTATAGTATAAATATCAATATTATATATCCAAGAATAAACTACTTTTGTACTAAACTTTTGATTTTAGCATTTTTTTAAATACCTTGCAAACTCTTAGCACATGGCCACAATATTGGAAAACTTTATGTAAAAAATCCATACCTACATTCGCAATTTACATTCGAAGGCATAACTTTATGTTTCTCTTATATTAAGGTAGAGGCTGAATAATAATTTGAAGTGGAGTCGAATTAAAAAATTATAGACTTATAATACATGTATAATATTATTATAGAGCCAAGTCATGTAATACAAACTAAAACAATTTAATAGCGCTTTAATGATATAGTAATTTTCCCGTGATAACTCAATGGGTCTCGCTATTATATAACTCAAGTGCCGAACGCCATCTATCATATAATAATAACCTAAAAAATCTAAAGTAAATTACATCGTGTAAAAAGATTTTGATATATAGATATGGTTAGCAACTTAGTTAAATGAGACTTTTTTTAATTAAATGAGGCATTGTGAAAAATTTTCAGCCACATCGGTGGCGTAGTTGGAGAGGTATGCATTGCATGAAGCTATACAATTACTTGCAACGTCTAATCGTGTTGTTAGACAACTTTGTTCCTTAGGACATTCAATGGGGTCTTACTACCTAGTAAGAAACATTGTAGAAGTAGTAAATAGCAATAATCGGTAGTAAATAACAACAATTGGGTCATATGCTTAATATCAGTAAACAAGGAATAATTTGTTACAATATTATAGGGCTATCCAATCACGGGAAGCTGGGAATCAATGCCTTTTCTTAAGTGGACCCCACCCTAGTTCCTAGGGCCACATAGAAACATTGTGGTGTCTATCCAGAACTACTACTGCTTGCTAATTAGCCCCACACTACTACCGAGTTCATGCATATACATTGCGGCTGCTCTTATTAGATATGTGTAAAGTTTCTTAATTTATATGTGTTGCATTGTTGTGGTACGCATTACTACTTACGCGATACAACAACTCACTCTCACACGGTGCATCTCCTGTTCTTGCTCAGTTAGAGCATGCATATAGAAAACTTCTTTTCCCCTAAAAACACATTCTAATCAGGTTGTGGTACTCATTACTTCTACTTAATTTTTATTTTTCCTAGATATTTGTCGCTGTAACAAATTGATGGTTGCCAAATTATTGTTACACAATTTACTCAATAATCAATAATACCAATAATGTAACTATGTAAGTATAGTGAAAATGCTTCCCATCCTACGTCCGAGCGCACGCGAAATATCGGACGGCTTCATCCTTATCCAAAACTCCAACTACCTTCTCTCTCGCTCCTCCGCCCTCTCCCACGCGAAATATCAGACGGATATCGCGGCGCTCATCGCCTCCCTCCGCCCGGACCCGGCCTGCCCGTCGCCGCCCTTCCTCCTCCGCCTCCTCCAAGCCCTGCTCCCGCTCTTCCTCCCCTCTACACGCTCCTCTCCTCCGTCCGCGCTTGCCCCGACGCCTCCCACCCGGAGTGGCCCTGCTCACAGCCCCGTTGAACCACGGGCCGGCGACCGCCTCGATCTCCCGAATTGAAGGTACGTGCGGAGGTCGCCGGCGACGGCCTCCCCACGACGACAACACGAGGCGGCGCGCGCGCATGAACGCATCCAGGTCGGCGTCCCTCTCCACGCTTCGAGCTGTCCTGTGCGAAGTGATTCGGCCTCTTGCCCGTGAACAACAGCATCGGCATCAGCATCGACACTGGCACCGGCGCCGCCGCGCTCAACGCTCATCAGAACGGCTACTTCAAGGCGAGTTCAGCTACTAGCACATGCTTTGTTGCAGTCTATTATCTATCTTTGTTTCAAATTATTATAATGAAGTGTTTCACTCTTTTTTAGTCGGATGTTGCACACAATGCATGCTGTATTTTCTTTGTTGTCGCACACAACAGCATTTCAGTGTTGCAATAAGTTGTTTTTCATATTGCATCTTTGGTGAAACAAATTTTGTAAAGTGATGAAACATTTTTCATTGAGTAATGGAACATCTGAAATATTTTCTTTGAAACATTGTTTACTGATTGGTGAAACATCTTAAACATTTTTTTCATGTGGTGAAACACTGCCCGCAGGGCCGGCCCTGGAGGGGGGCGAGCGGTGCGGTCGCTCTGGGCCCCCAAATCGCAGGGGCCCCGCACCAACAAACCCAACCCCCCTCCCCCCTCTGGCGCGGCACGACGCGTCCGAGGAATCAGGCCTGGCCCAACAGACGATGCGGTGTTAGGGCGAAGGCGAACAGACGCCGAATACGCGACTCGCGAGATTGGCGCCGCCTGTCGCCCACGTCGTCTCCTCTCTTCTCCTCACGCCCACCGCGCACCGCTTGTTCCGCAATCCGCACGAGGACTCGAGGACCAGCCGACTGCCAACGATCGACGAGGACACGAGGTGCTCAGGAGTCAGGCTTTGCATCAGGTGTAGGTGCTACCGGCCAGGCGCTGCACGGGCACGGCGGCAGCCGCTGCTTGCTTGCTTGATGGCTTGATGCTTGCCACCGACTGCCCTAGCCCCTAGAGTACTGGATGTCTTGACGAGGACTACTCGAGAAGGATGGGCCGACCGCCGACGGGGGTCACTGAATCTGAATACTGTATTTGTCTGATCAGTGATCAAGCAACAAGCATTCTATTAAGGTGAGTGTAACACCAATACATCATTGCTAATTTGCCATCGCCAAATGAAAAATTGAAATTTTTGTAACATTGTGATTTTATTTGTTAACATGTAATCTCGTGTGTTGGTTTTTGCTGTGTATTGATGTATGGTCCTATGTTAGGTTAATTTAGTTGTTCCGATAATTGGACAAACCGACGAAGGCACAAATTTGTTGAGGTAACATGTACTATAATGTTTTCTATATAATTTTTTAATACAATTTTAATATTTACGCAATAATTTATATATAAATTATATGTATATACTAATTACTATTACATAGTATGATAAGGGCCTCTATATTTAGTTTCGCATCGGGGCCCTGAAAAGTCAGGACCGGCCCTGACTGCCCGGTGTTTGGACTGGGACTGGACGTCCGATCCTGCTCCTCTCCTAAGTATAGCAATTAGTTAAGGCTGTGTTTAGTTCAGCGTCTAGTTTGGATTTTGGTTGAAATTGGAGATGATGTGACTGAAAAGTTGTGTGTGTATGACAGGTTGATGTGATGGAAAAGGACTGAAGGTTGGATCAGTAGTCACATCATCTCGAATTTCAACCAAAATCCAAACTAGGCTTCCAGTTTGGATCCAAACTTCAGTCCTTTTCCATCACATCAACCTGTCATATACACACAACTTTTCAGTCACATCATTTCTAATTTCAACCAAAATCCAAACTAGGCGCTGAACTAAACACAGCCTAAAGTTGCTCACTTGCTCTCAGACGCAGACGGCAGACCACAGTCCACAGGTGGCCGCCAGGTCGGCTAAACGTCCGCCTCCCACGCTCCCCGCCACCCGCGCCTAATCCACACCAGGTGCCCGACATGTGTTCGACGGTTTGCCCGTGAGACGACGCGCGTCGGCCATGGCGCTCGCCCTCCTCTCCCCCTCATCAGCGAGTGCCCACCGTCTGCCGCGCCCCATCAGCTCCCCGCCGCTCGGGCGCGCCGCCTCGGCCACCAGCATCGGTTCCTCCTTCTTCCCCCTCTGCTCCTCCCCTCCGTCCTCCGGCTCTTGCTCCTTGCGGAGGGCCAGCTCCGCGGGCGGCGCAAGCGAGCCAGAAGCGTCGGGGGCCACCTCCCTCGACGCCGACTTGCTCAGGCGTGTCGCCGGCGCCGCGGACGCCGGCGAGGCGCTGGACATCGTCGCGGAGTCGGCGGGAGGCACGGGCGGTCTGGACGCGTCCGACTGTAACGCGATCGTCGCGGCGGCGCTTGACCGGGGCAACGTGGAGCTAGCGCTCTCGGTGTTCGAGGCGATGCGATCCGGCTTTGCACGAGGTGAGGGCATCGTATCACTCCTTACGTTTTTTCTTTTATCACGAAATGTAGTGAATTATGTTTTGGATTGAGCGTACTGAGTCCCTGTGGTGTGGAGTGCCGGCTTGCAGCTGGGGCCTGGAGGTGGGCGAGGCCAGACGTGCGGACGTACGCATTGCTTGTCCAGCGATTGGCAGCTGCTCTGCGTGTTTCTGATGCTCTTAGGATAATCGATTATGTATCTCGCGCAGGCATTTCTTCGGCAGAGGAGGTGAGCTTTGGCGTCGCAGACTAGCATGTCTGACGATGTGTATGGTGCTTTGCTGTTTGGTTTGCATGCATGATGTTTGGATGTTTTAGTGGCATTTGACAAATGATGGAAGCTTTTTATTCTTGCTTTAAAACCTTGATCTGCAAACATGATTTGTCACCTACCGGTACCTCATCATTTGTCCAATTACTGGTTTCATTTGTCCAAGGCAATTCAAGCTTAATTCTAACTAGAACCGAATTTGCAGAGGAATAGTACTAAACGTAGATTTCTGGAGATAGGTAAGTACAATCAGTTCATCTACGGAAATCCTATTTATTATCAAAACAATTAGTGCAAAAGGTCCCAACAAGGATAGTCTTGCCATAGCAATATCAGTGCCCCTCCAACGAAACTCCCTTTTGGTTTGATGTAACATATAACTTTGAATAATCTAGTCCCATTAATATCCACAAGCCTGGCAACAATCCTTATGGTTCTGATCCTGTCTCAAAGTATTGATAATTCTGGTGCATCATACTTTAATTTTAAAAATTTACATAAGAGTGTCTTGTTGAATGGAAGTATATTTGATGTAGAGAAAACTTGAGACACTTCTAAAGGAAAACACAGTGAATGAATGTCACTACACTTCTAAATGATAGATTTTACTTGTTACAGGTCCCATTTGGGATGATTATTCGCTGTCCAAGCTGCATGGTAGCAGTCGCAGTTGCACAGCCCCAGCATGGAACTCAGGTTTGATGCTGTACAAGTATCTTGTACCTCTAATCTAATTGTTTAAGCTACTCACTTAGCTCGCATGATGCGATTTATGAAACAAAATTTTACAGTTTGAGCAAATTTTTAGAGATGACATCTTAGGAAAATATAGATTATTTTTAATGCTGTAATGGAAATCTTAGCATTATTTTATTACTTTACAGACTGTTTCTTGTTCAAAATGCCGATATCAGTACGAACTATTTTCTGGAGATATCATGAGCATCGAGTCTGAAGAAGTTAGGTTAGTTCTTGGAGCAGTTGCTTGGAGTTGTAAACTGTCAATGCTATGCCATGATCTTATTCTTTTTTCGGTTATATTTGTAGCTATGGATTATGGTGTTGTTTCTAGTAACTTTTGGAGCAATGTTCTTCTAAAACAGGTGTCCTGCCATTAACTGTGGAGGGACTCCAGTACTAACTTATTTTGTTAGAACTTAGAAGATACTCCCTCCGTTCCATTTTAAGTGCAGTTGTGAGTTTCCGTGTCCAACATTTGACAGCCCGTCTTATAAAAAAAATAAAAATAAGTCACGCATAAAGTACTATTCATATTTTATCATCTAATAACAACAAAAATACTAATCATAAAAAAAATTTCAGATAAGACAAACAATCAAACGTTGGACATGGAAATCCATAACTGCACTTAAAATGGGATGGAGGGAGTGACATCTAAAAAGTAAACATTAGAACAATTAAAATAATTGATATATCAGTTAGCTTTGACTAATTAGCCATGTCTGTGATCTCATCGTTCGACTTATACTTTCTAATGTTTCCTTTAGATCCAGTGGTACGATTGGCTATTATATAGGTCTATGAACTGCTTATCCTGAGTGCTTAGGTATTACTCTGCAGATTATTGGGTTTCTGTGATGTCAAAAAGATTTATACATAATTTATTTTAGTGTTTGATAGGTACACATTGTCCTTCTGTATAACTCTCTCACAGAAATGGTTTATTACATTCCAATGATTATGCAACTTTGTACTATTTTGTAGTTTATCTGAAGTAACTTGATTGATATTGTTTTCATCTGTTATATCAGAAGATATTTTTGCACACCTCTATTACTTTCTCAATGGTTCCATATATGACACTGCTTCTAATATTACTTCTCTAAGGATCTCCTCCTGCCGAACGCAGCATGGACATTTCAGCTTTGGACAAGGCATTGCGATTTATAAATGTGATAAAAGACGGTCTTCCAGCTGCTGTGCACTCTATTGTGGTAGTTTCCCTTTCAAAAACCGCACAATAGATCTTAACTGTGCCATCATTTATTTCAAAGATCTTTACTTTTCAAATTTTTGAATAAATCATCGTTGCTCTTGATGGATATCAAGATATGAAGATGCCTCACATTAAACTAGATGTACTCCATATAATAGAACTGAAAGGTAAAACTCTCCCTGTTTTCTGTTCAACAATTGAGGTAAAAAAATGTTCCTCTTTATGACAAGTAGGATAACTGCTTGTTCATCAATGGTAGAAGGGAATTACACACATGGACATGTTTATCATCTTAGAGGTTATTCTTGCACTACCAGATGCCATCACGCCAAGCAGTGTATCCATATGTGATTACAGCTGCCTTCCTTAAAAAAATCTTTTGTTGTACTTTTTCCAAATTTCCCAGAGTTTAAGAGTATGATGCTTCAGGTCTTGGCAACCAAGAAGATGCTTCCCCATGCACCATGTGAGGCAGAAGTGTTTTTTCATAGAAGTTTTTTGAAAGTAAACATGATATATTTTCACAAAATCTGTGGAAAACTCCAAAAATGACCAAGCGTTATCACATGTTTGGTTTGAACCTTGGCCCCACATTAGCAGCATGTATAGTATTTTGCCAAAATTCTGGGAACAAGTCGAACACTTGCTAACTGAGGTCAACACATTCACATTTTAGTTTGAATATTTGGCAACTGTTGACTTAGGACCAAACAGTCATCGAGAATTCTTCATGTGTTTCTTTCCAAATATCGTTCAATCCATTAATGCTAAATTTGATCACCAACATTTCTCTGTCATTTCTCACTCCCCCCTTAAGATAGTTGGGCCAGGGATTGGCTATCCAAATTTTCCTCTAGAGTGCTCCAACAAAACATTCCACGACGAAATTCAGCTGAATCTATTTTTTGTGATATCACACAGTTCTTATAATCTGTTGACAATGTTGTTCAGAACATGAGCCATATTCATGTAAATTGTAAGTTATTTATTTTGCAGATTCGCACACCTTCAGGAACAGCCCGTACCCATAGATTTGCTACGCAGACTGTAGAACTGCCTGCTCAAGAAGGAGAAAGAGTGACCATTTCCTTGGCTGCCCCATCAAATGTTTATCGTGAAATGGGTCCCCTTAAGATTTCTGCACGCTCACAAGGGTTTAGACCAGGAGAACCCATGTCTCTCACCAATCACATCAACAGACAAGTCTCAAGATTGCTAAGAGCTCCATCAAAGAACGAGGGACCATTCGTCTTTAATCCATATTTGTTGGTCGGTGCTCTTGCTCTTCTTGCCTCTGGAGATGCTGCTTCTGCATTCATCGACCCAAGCCTCCCTAGATTTATTACAGCAACTGCTTTTGCATCAGCTGCTGTTGGAACAGCACTAAATCAAGTGATCCTGCCAGAGATTCGAAAGGTAAGTAAACTCAAGGATTAGCATTCTTCACTAGGAGGAAACTTGAAAACTATGGGCAGGTAGTCGGAATGCTAATAGGGTCATGTAATACCAACGTATGGTGCTGGAGTCTTGTACCAACAATAGATCATGCAAGCAACTGTCTATAGCCTGCTCTGTTTTGCTTCCTTGTTCGATCAAGCTTACCCTATGGCATGCCATTACATAGCTAGAGTATCTAATTTACTTTGTTTCTCTTCAATCATACTCCCAATGGAAAGACTTGGCTGTGTATATCCAATTGTGGATATAGAGGCTGGATTTCTATCCATTATCTACAAAAAATATTGATGAGAGTACTAGCATTTATATAGCAATGGCAAATCAGGAAGAAAAGAGACAAAGGTTCCTAAAAAATATTTTTGGTAAGAGTTGAGAAATCTAAAATGTCTTATATATTGGATAAGAGGGACTATAATTTCAAAAATATTTTTTTATCAGTACTTTTTTAGAGAAACCTAGTGCCTTATACTTCCATAGTTAAAAGGACATGCTATTTTCAAATTTGCAAAGCCAACAAGATGCACTTTGACCACAAAATTTTATCATTGTGCATTTTATAAAAGTATTTTTTTCACATGTTTACTCAATTTTTTATATATCCAAATATTCATATTTTAGACAATATCTTATTATCTTATTAGTAGTTTTTGGTTAGAAGCTACGTTGTCCATTATATTCTCTCTGACCTAAATTCGATGTTATTTTCAGCTTCCACAAAAGACAGTAGATATAATTGCTGTTCGGCAGCAACTTTTATCTCAGTACGACATGCTTCAGACTCGTCTAAAGGATCTGAAACAACTTTCCGAAAAGGAGGTTAAAATCTGTAATCTCTAATTAGTTTATTTTCTGCTAAAAGTAAAGTCCTGAAAATCATGAACTCCTAAACTCCTAAATTTATTTTCAAAGGTGTGGATGCTGGCAAGAATGTCTCAACTAGAGAACAAGATATTAGCAGTAGGTGAACCATCATATCGGTAATTTCATACAGTTCCAACAGTTTATTTTATTGTTCTAGTTTAACTTTATCTATTCACAAATATACTTATATAACATGGTTGTTTGTTAGAACTTGTTCTACTACAGAGTTTTTTTCTTTTTGAAAATAATGAAGTTTTGATCAAACTTATTTCCAGTGCTCGTCGAGGTAGAGTGAAGAGGGTACTTGAAAGCTTGGAAAGTACACTCCTGGCAAAGATTGAGCTGATGGAAAGTTATGCAAAAGTAATAGAGCAAATTTTATATATGGTATGTATAACTCACGTTTATTATAGCTAAATAGTGAAATGTTGGATATGCCACTGCAGTTGTGTTCTATGATTGAAATTGAAGTTGAGATGGACTCAGATGTTATTGTTGCTGAAGCAGCAAGTAGTGCAGTAAGTTCAAGTTATTTAGCTATCCTATTTATGCATCATGTGGATGAAGTATGATTACTAATAATCAGTGTCCTGATTCCAGGAAAGGATATCAGAACAAATACAGCAACTAATGGAGATTGATAGTCTTGAAGAGGCAAGTATATCCTATGTTCATCAGCTTACATTCAACAGAAAATGTTTCGTAAGGACTAACAGTTGCTTCTAATACTTATTTAGCAATGGCGTATACAAGCTGAGGCTAATGACGAAGCAGAAAGGCTGCTTAATTCAGATTCTTCAGAAACATTTTCCGCTGAGCATGTATAATGAGTTATTTTGGGTAATATGCAAGTACCTCTGTTTTCTTATGCCATGTTTCTTTGTGTAAAATCCTTTTCTTCCCTTATAAACTAGAACAAAATCGTAATAACATGTGAAGGGAGATAGTTTTGGTTCAGCCATGTAGATGATGAACAGATCACTGTGTTACAATACAATATGACAGAAGTAAACAAACCCTTTTTAAATTCCTGCAACGCATGCACATCCATTGCATGTTGAGTGCAGATTAGAACAAGCTTACAGTTGGACATGAAATCCACACAGTATTGTACATAAAGGACATAGGAATGTGGAATTCCTGAGGTACTTGTGGTATATCAGATATTCTGATCACGTGTTTGCTAATTGCATTGCGAGTTGCAACATATGTTCTTGGAGCTACCAAAAGTACTGATTCAGGCATCTAAACCAGTCCATATAACTACTTCCTACATTAAAGGCCATTGCGTTGAATGGTGGGACAGTTTCATGTAATGTATTTTGCAAATTGAATTGCAGCACATTTTCTTGTGAGCTGAAAGAGTTTAGGAGGATGTTTGTGAAGCAACAATGGAACCATGACCTATAACAATTCATTGTTACCTTGCTTTGCTGGTTTATACATATTTTAGAGAAGTCTTCCTATACCCGTATATCCACACTCTAATTACAGTTTGTTTTAATCCAAATATTGAGAAGGTATTCATCAGCATGCCAATCTTGTTTTCCTTACTTTGTTCTTGGTTCTTTTGAGATGTTTTATGGCACTAAAACGATTGTGTCGGTTCTTTTCATGTATTGTGGACTTGTGGCACTAAAATGATAGTGTTTGTTCTTTTCAGATATTTTGTGGCACTAAAATGATCGATGTCTCCATCAACTTGCTCTTGTCAACAGTGTACTAGAAGGAAAGCTGGATGGATAGTCAGGCAATTGCACAGAGATACCATCAGAGTGCAGGTCACCAATGTAAACTCGTTTCGGGAACACCATCGTAGCAAATCCAAACGCTCAGGTTATTGGGCGAACCTCCCTTAGCCAAATTGCCTACCTTATTAAGAATAAGGTACCCGATTGCTTCCGATTGCTCGAATACTATGGTATCCTTGCGCCCAATACTGGTTTGTTTGCTTATGCATTCATTGCCAAGTATATATTGTCTAGATACTGTAGAAAGTTTTGCCCATTTTGGTTCTGAATGTCTTACATTTCAAAGTCCTGATCAAATTTTTATGGACCAAGAAAACCTTCCTTTGCAGCAATGTTTCTCAGCCATGGTGAAATTGGCTACTATACTAGTCTTCTGTGATTATCGGATGATCCTAGGATGTCTTCTCCCCATACAAAACCAGGGTATAGGGGGATGAGTTCAGATGAATCGATTTTCCCCCAGATTCGTCCAGAAAATATAGTGGCCGACCAAACTAAGCTGATTACCGCTATTACTGACGCCTGTCAATCCTAAAACTTTGAGCAAACTTCTTGCTTGAAATTTGACAAATGAAGCAACCTGGCGTGCTTGCTAAAGATGCATGAATGGCAACTTATCTCTGTCTCTATCTGTGCAGCCTCATACAGAGATAGACATGTTCACAAGTCATATGTATATGGTTCTTCCACATACCCCTGATTTCTCTTAAAGATGAATAAACCGTGACACATTTAACACCGGGTCCTATATCTGAAATATTCAATCTTTACATCTTCAACTTATCAGCTGTAAATAATACAATCACCCAGGACAGTTTCACACCAACTTTGGATCACGAGTGAGCAGGAATGCCTGAGGTCCCTGTGCTTGAATAAATGGGCCATGTGTTATTGACTTTATAAGTGCTGTATAAGTGCTTCTACTAGAATATATCATAAATCCATGTACTTTATTGCGAGATGTGCATTTTATGTCTCATTGGTGCACCATACTTTGCATGTTGCAACATGTAGAGCTTGTTTGGTTTGCTACCATGCTAAAATATTATCAATGCTAAACCATAGGTAAATTTTGGTAGTGCCAAATGTTTTGGCAACTTATGTGTTTTATTGGCATATTTTGGTAGCAAACTAAGCACTAGCCAAACTACTATTCAAAATGCCATCAATTTAACAGGGCACATTTTGGCATCAAACCAAAATAGCCTGTACTTTGAAATCCTGCCAGTATTATCTAAGCCATGATTGTTTTTCATGAAAGTAACTAGGTTTTGCCATACGGATAACCATGGCAAATTCATGCCCAAATTTTGTTGTTTTAACTCTCAGCGTCGACTGATGCCAATACGTTCTACTAATCTATATCTATACAATCTTAAAAAAAAAGGCAATGGTGATGGACGTAGATAAATGGGGACCATAGATCAGTCACCTCTTGTTGACCAATATGGCAGTGGCCATGCGGTGGTAGTACTATGTTGGAATCTCAATTTGTTTCATGTAGAACACACTTACCGAATAATCTATTTATTTATTTTAATTCACTCTTAGTTAATTAGAGTCCAAGAGTGATGGTTTAGTCTTAATTAGATCATCTAATATCATTATACCTTGTTGCAACGTACAGGTGTTTCGCTAGTGTTAAAGAAAAGGTTATCACACAGATTCAAAGCAACATTGTAGTTTGTTATTGTGCACATTTTGGCTGTGTTCGGTACCGGGAGTTCCCAACTCTGGGGATTTTAACTATTTGCCACTCTTACGGATGTTGCTTAACGATTTGCCACTAGGCCCACATATCATAGACACATGAGGGCCCACATGTCATTGACAGGATGTGGCAAATTATTAATTGCCAGGTCACAAGAGTGGCAAATAGTTAAATTTCCCCCATCTCCCCCTCTCATTTTTCGCACGCACGCTTTTCAAACTTTTAAACGGTGTGTTTTTGCAAAAAGTTTATATACGAAAGTTGTTTAAAAAAATCATATTGATCTATTTTTGAAAAAAAATTAGCTAATACTTAATTAATCACGTGCTAATGGACCGCTCCTTTTTCGTGCGTGGATGATGGGTTTCTAACACCCACCACCGAACACAGCCTTTGCAGTGTTCTCTGCATCCGCAACTATGCATCATGTCCCTTGCGGTAACCGATGCCCTAACAGGCTATAGAGACGATGCAAAACTACCTTATTTGGTGAAAGGCGGACATTGTAATCCTACATCAGCTCAAATTTGGCACATCAAATAAAACACTGGAGAAAAGTACGTTGGAAGCATCATAAATTGTAGAATCGGTGCCAATGCTTGGAGCTGTACAGAAAGATTATTCCAGCGGTGTTCTAAACATCTCATAACATTCAATCGCGTCATCGTAACCGAGCTATAACTATGTGCCCCGAGTATTTCGGATCAGGGTTGTATGTAGATCCCATATGCCTCCCAAGCCCTGGGTAGTTGTCAGAACTGTGTTGATAAGGAAAATTGATCATCACATGAAAACATGATGCCATCCAAAGCTATAACATGAATGATATATTTTTTTCTTGAGATGGATAAGTTTGTTTGTAGTACTCTACTTGAATCTTATCACACGGCATGAGAGGCTCACGTTAGTATATATTCTTCAAACTTGCTTTTCATTTCTGGCTATTTATAAGCTAAACACGTACAAACTGTAGAAAAAAACATTTTATTTGTTACCTGTACATTCATTATCAAACTATTCTGAAAAGTGGGTAGTACATGACATCTTGATGTCTTGAGTTAAGACATGTTGTCCACCATGATTTCCAGTGGATTAAACATCCCGTACATTGTGCATGTAATGTTTATTATATATATCCATTCCAGCATAAAGAAAAGGCCTACTACCTCTATCACAAAATAAGTTTATTTTTAAATCCACCGCACACATTCCAATAAAAAACAAAAACATTAGAATATTCCTACTTTATTAAATGCCAATATATGTACTCCCAATATAATTAAGGCTAAGTTGAGGTTCCCAACTCACCTCTTTCTTTTTACGCGTGCACACTGTTCAAACGGCTAAGCGGTGTATTTTTTTTAAAAAAATTATAGGAAAGTTGCTTTAAAAAATCATATTAATTTATTTTTTTTAAAAAATACCTAATAGTTAATTAATTGTATGCTAATGAGCTACTCTGTTTTATGTGTATTGGAGATTAGTTCCAACGTGCAAGTGATGTTCATGCCAGCAATGTAATCTCTTATGCATAAAAGTTACTCCAGGAGATAAACTTTTGGTAAGTTATACTACGTACTCCCTCCATTTTTTAATAGATGACGCCGTTAACTTTTTCTCACATGTTTGGGTCCCCATCGTTTGGCTTATTTCCTAATAAGGCAAAATGGCTTATTAGAAAATAAAAATGAATTTATGGATAAAACTTTTATAAATGTGTTATTTGTGACTTAAAAGCCAACGTTGAAAAAAAACTACGTTGAAAATATGTTAAAATCAATCTTAAAATTAAGCTTGAAAATTTTAAATTTGGCTTTTTCTTTGGCTTATTAGGCCATCCGATAAGGCTGTTGACCGTTCGTCTTATTCAAAAAATTTACGTAATTATAATTTATTTTGTTATGGGTTGTTTTATCACTCATATTACTTTAAGTGTGATTTATATCTTATACATTTGCATAAAATTTTTGAATAAGACGAAAGGTCAAACATGTAAGAAAAAGTCAAAGGCGTCATCTATTAAAAAACGGAGATAGTAATATTTTTAGTTTTAATGGTAAACTACTGGTTCAGAGGCATTTAATTTCACAAAACAAAACACCACTTTTCTTTCTAGCTGCTTTTCTATTCCGTCAACTGGCAAGTGGGCCCCATTGTCAGCCCCAAACGTTTGCTCGTTCCTCGGTTTCCTCCTCCTCCATCAGCTGAGATGGAGCTGGGAGCCTGGGAGCTCGACTCTATGGCTCCAGGTCCAGGCAGGCCACTGTGTCTGTGTGTGAGCTATTTGGAAATTGGAATTGGAAGGGGAGAAGAGCAAAGCTGCGAAAACCGTCAGAGCCATGCACTGCCACTGCTGCTGCTCATCGGCGTCGATCCCCTCTACACTGGATCGAGTTCCCCTATGCGTCTGGACGCGGCGGAGCTCCATCAATCCCCTCCCCAAATTGAGACGCCAGATTGATCGTGGATGGCGAGGAGCGAGCGATCGATCGATCATCACGAGCATTTGCCTCAACAACTCGTTCTGGGAAACAAATGGGGGGAATGAATCGGATCGGGATTCGGGAGCGCGAGACCCGCGGCGGAAGCTTAATTGGCATTGTTGTTGTAGGCGCCGCCGCCGCCGCCCACACCGCGCATCAACCATCAAGTAGGGGAAGGGCTGATTCGCCGCGGATGATGCGCGCCTCTCTGCTCGCTCCTCTCGAGTTGAGCGCTGATCTCACCCCGCCGTTACCCAGTGCCAGGCACTTCGCCTCGAGGTAATTCGATTGCAAATACAAAGCCGAATGTGAAAAGCTTTCCCGTAGTTGCAGACATAACATGGCAAATTCAAAGAAAATTTAAGTGCTGCCGATGTTTAATTTAGGGGCTCATGCTTCCTTGAACTCTGACCAGGAGGAGACTTCTTCAGAATATGTGACTACAATCAAAAGAGGAAGGAGCAATCCCAGGTAATAAATCAGTCAACTTCTTTACAGTAGTAGGTAAAATGTGATTACTTTCAAAACATAGCAGAACATTTATGTTATTTATCTCTTAACTTGTTTACATTAACTATGCACTGGAAACAATTTAAATGCTCATCTTCACTAAATTCCGGATATTAGCAATTTTTTTTTGTGCAGTAGATTATGTTGATGCTCTCTTCTAATTCATGTTGCTAATTTACTGTAGTTAGGAGGAACCCTGAGAAGTTTTTAACCAAGCTTCTTATGTGTATTTGATACATTGACTGTCTTGCAAACTTTGTTTAACAGGCAGGTACCTGATCATTGTAGATATAAAAATAACTTCACCGAGCAAATTTTTTTGTCATGTTTTGGATCCATACTCTATTCCCTCTTTATTCTTCTCATAATTATCCAATGATGAAATATTTGCCTTTTTATTTTTGAGCTCTAATTTATGAGGATCATGAATTGAGGGATTACTTATGTTTCTTTTGCTACATGTGTTTCACGCGTTATGCTTAATCAGTTTGCCATCTCGACCTGAATTGGATGTATATGCTGGTGCAGATTTTTTTTGACCGATTGTTTTTTCTCTTTCTGTTTAAATCTTCCAGTTGTGATTTTATCATAAGGTGCCTGTATATGTAATTCCTTTGCTTGTACTCATGCTTTCTTCTTTTGCTTTTGCTCTGCTTCTGCTCTTTGTTTCCTGGTTTGCTGCTTTCGAAATGAACAGATCAATGGATTGTTCTTGAGGTATAGCAATTATACCATTTACATTTGATTTTAGAATAATCTCTACTGAACTCCATGTGTTGATTTGATCAATGGGTTGATACTATTTCTTTTAGCCCAGATCCATCAAAATGAAGCTAGCAGGCCTATGATCCTTCTGTGGCCAATACGAGCACCCTTTTGCAGGTATTGCTTTATTATCAGAATCTTAAAAAATGACTACCCTTCCCTTTCATGAAAACAACGTTTTACAGATAAATGTGAATGCTCCTCTTGTCTGCAGTAGACCAGTAGTTTGAGTCTACCTTTCTGTAAGCCTCACTACAATGTATTTGTGACAACAATACCACCTTCCTGTTCATTGGCTAAACCCAGCACTACAGATACTCTGGTGTCTGGTCGCTGTTTTATTTACCATATCGTAGTGCTGAAATTTCTCAGTGGTCTGTGTGTATAATGTGAAAGTCTTCACAAGATCATGAAGCAACATTATTTATCTCAGTCCCACTCTTCGAGGTGTTCAATTGTTCATGCCTACTTGATCAAATAAATGATATAGTACTTCAGCAAGCTATTATATATTGGCTCTTCTTTTCAATCTCGGTCACTAGATGTTGCTAGTCCTGCAACTTGGGTAGGTTCAGACTGAACCATTCAGGGTGTTGCCCTAATATTTTGCACGCCATTTCAAAATCCATCAGAGTCAACCTCAACTGTTGAAGTAGTCCACATATGTTAGGAAAACGGTGTTGCATCACCTTCACTCAGGCTGATAAGCCTTGTATCCTGTAGAGTCTTTAGGGCCCGGCATTCCTTTTCTCCTCAAAACCTCATCCTAAGTGTCATGTACATATCAGGTTTTATTTTCAGGTTGACAAATTGTTTCTTCAAGGTAATCGATCGTGAAATGATTGCTTCATTGTTCAAGGCCCTATAGCTACTCATTGCTTTGCTTGATTCAAATAGAACGACTATTACTACTTGTTCAATTTCATTGTGCTCAGTCTCTATCTGAAATTTCAAATTGCAATTACCGTTCTTATTTGTTTCTTCAGTTGCAGGCCCTCATGGTAAGCTCAACTGCACATTACAGTTGATAACATCAATGAGCAGGATGTAGTGAGTGTTCTGGCATCACCGATCGTTCTGTTGGTAGTCTGCCTCACAAACTTTGTGCTTTACCAAAGCCTTGGCTGCACCTCATTTGAAAAATCAGGCCACTGTCACATCGGCAAGCATGCCACATCAAATACCTACAACAATGATAGCAAATGTAGATTAGTTAACTGCCACATTAAGAATGCCTTCGCTAGAATAAATCTTTGCAAGCAAGCTGCTTTAACAAATTATGTATACTTGGATTGCTAGCTTTAACAAGCTATTTTAACTACATGTTCATTACACAACGATTCATATTCGAGAGTAACAACATCATTTTGATAAGGTTTTGCATGGTTTGTTGCCAGTGGTAGAAACCATGTGTACTAATTACCAAAGTTCTGGAGAGAAAGGAACCAGACGGCAACAGTGCAACAGTCAAAATGATCTGCAAAGAAAGTCAATGATGTACTGTTGCTAGCAATAATCAACAATAGAAAAATGATCTGCATGTTGGTGACTTGTCCAAATCAACAATAGCTCCTAGCCTTTCTTTATTAACTAGGAATATATTATTTACTACTGGTGTTGACAACTAATCAATTGCAATAAGTAACGTGTTAGGTTAGTGTGGACATAGAAAAAAAATACTTAGTTTTAAAACACATATCACAATTATTTATTTTTGTTGATAGCATTGCATGTGGACATACTCTGCTAATATGCTTCTTGCTCCATTTACTTTAACAAGTTTTGGTGAACTTAAGTCATTGTGCCCTGCAGCCTGTCTTGTTTCAAAATATAATATTGGCAAGGGGGTGACAAACCAGGTTGTCAGGGTTCTCAGGCCTTATCAGGAATCATAGTTGCCACACACACACACACAGAGACATACAGAAAGTGTTGCAACATGTGCCTCAACAATTTCCTTGTTCCAGCAATCCAGGGTCGCTTTACCTCCCCTGCCTGAACACTCTATGCTGCAGGTCAACGCAAGCTCACTCAAAGTGCTTCAACACCTCCAGCCATCTCCATTTTCAGGTACTGGCGTTCGATCTAAATGTGTTTCCAGGACTTGCATTGGTATCTGCAATTTATAAGACCTCTAAATTTGTTCTGTAGATCAGGCCACAAGCATAGACGATGGGGACAATTTTAGTGTGTTTGTCATCCAAATGTTTAGAAAAGCTGGTTGGGATACTGCGGGAGGAATTTGTGAAGACATTATTTGTGAGAAGAGATATCAGGAGGCTCCGTGAATCTCTGAAGTACTTTGATTCTGTTCGTGAAGATGCCGATGCTTTGGCCTTGGAAAATAGAGTGACAGGAACATGGTGGAGTGATGTGAAGGATGTTATGTATGATGTTGACGACATTGTAGATTTTTTGAGAGCTCACTCGTACAAGCAGCGATGTTGTGATCGTGTCCTGTTCTCTAGGCTGGCACAACTTCCACTTGATTACAGGATTGCCAGAAGAATCAAATATGTAAATGAAAGGCTTGTGCAAATCACAATGAACAGCAAGATGTTTGTTCCACTGGCAATGAGGAGTCCTCAAACTCTCCAAAGAAACGGTGTTAGTAGGTATGTGGCTGCTTTGGTTGATGAACTTGATGTTGTCGGAAGAGAAATCAAGGAAACTACTGATGATATGGTTCAAATGATCATTGGATGTGGCCATCAGAGCACCATATCAGTTTACGGGATCCTAGGGATGGGAGGAATTGGCAAGACAACTTTAGCTCAGAAGATATACAATGATCGAAGGATAAGGGAGAGGTTTCACCATGTCCTTATATGGCTGTCAATTTCTGAGAGCATCTCAGAGACTGACTTGCTGAAGGAGGCCATTGAAAAGGCAGGAGGACAGTCTTATCAGGGCAAGAGTAAGGATCAACTTCTACAAGCTCTACTAAATTGTATCACTGGACAAAGTATCTTCCTTGTGTTGGATAATATGACAAGTTCACATATCTGGATTGATCTTCTTCGGTCCCCAATAGAGAGATGTGCGGATGCCCATGTACTTGTTACCACAAGGAGCCGTGATGTTTTGTCACAGATGAACGCGATACATGTTCACGAAGTGCACAAGCTGAAGGAACATGATGGCCTGGAACTTCTTCAGATCATTCCGAACCGAAGACGAAATAAATGTATTCGGTGATATTGGATCACAGATTGTCAAGAAATGTGATGGGCTTCCTCTTGCCATCAAGGCCGTTGCAGGTGTCCTGTCCTCGAAGGCAACGAAGGAAGAATGGGCTAGAGTCCTGGAGAGCAGATGGTGTTATGAAGGACTTCCAGAAGAAATACAAGGCCCCTTGTATTTAAGTTACAATGACTTATCCCCACAGCTTAAGAGCTGTTTCCTCTGGTGTGCCTTGATGCCTCAAAATTTCCATATTCACCGAGATGTCACTTACTTCTGGATTGCTGAAGGCTTTGTGAAGAAAGAGGGCAGCAGACCGATACAGGAGGTAGCTGAAGATTACTACCACGAGCTAATCATGAGAAATCTACTGCAGGCAAGACCAGAGTACATAGACAAGGGAATTTCTACCATGCATGATCTACTAAGGTTGCTTGGCCAATACTTGACAAGAGACGTAGCCGTGTTCATGGATGAGGACGAAACCCCTCCAAATGTTCGGCGTTTAGCGGTTGGCAACGCCGTTGAGGAAATACCTGGTATACAAGACCAGAAAAACCTACGGTGCCTCCTAGTGTATCACCACGACGCATGCAGATCAGTCAAGAGGGACATTTACAGGAAGCTGGAGCATCTTCGCATCTTAATTCTAGTTGGAGCAGGCCTCCAGAGCATACCAGAGTCAGTTGGGCACCTGGTGCTGTTGAGGCTGCTGGATGTCAGCTGTAATGAAGAAATCAAGCAACTTCCGGGATCCATCGGAAACCTTACCTGCCTTGAACACCTCTCAGTGTCTGGTTGCGAAAAATTGGCATCGCTGCCGGCGAGTCTGATGACGCTGTCCACGATAAGCTTCCTCAATATAGGTGGCACAGCACTGACCCCAAGTTCCCAAAGGGATCGGTAATTTCCGATGCATGGATAATCTTCGATCAGTTTTCCAAGATGGTACTGGCGGGTTCCGATTGGATGAACTAGATAGTCTCTCCAAGATACGGCGCCTCTTGCTGATCAAGCTGGAGAAAGCCTCACCGCCAGCTTCACCCGTGTTGTGCAACAAGCGTCACCTCAAAGAGCTCGGCCTTACCTGTACAATGGGTGAAGAAGCTGATTGTCGAACCAGCTACGAGGACAGTGAAGTGAAGAACATCGAGGAGATCTACAACAAGCTCTGTCCATCACGAAAATTGCAGTACATCTTTATAGATGGGTTCCCTGGTGACGCGTTTCCAAAATGGTTATCTTCAGAGCCGCAGGACACACTGCCGAACCTGGCTCATTTGCACTTCAACCACTGAATATCTTGTCCAGAGCTTCCGCCTGCAGGCCAGCTACCAATGTTGCAGGTTCTTCATGTCAAAGGGGCTGATGCAGTTGTGAGCATTGGCCATGAACTCTTTGGTAAAGGGGTAGTGTCTCCAACACATACCATTATATTTCCAAAGCTTGAGCTGCTTGAGATCGTTGACATGTACAACTGGCAGAGTTGGTCGGTTAGCACAGAAAGCTTGTCTGATGGCACATCGGAAACCATCTCACGATCAGTCTTTCTTATGCCATGCATCAGGTACCTGCAGCTGATAAATTGCCCAAAACTGAGAGCTCTCCCCGAAGATCTGCACAGAATTGTTAACCTACGAAGGGTTCTTATAGAAGGTGTGCACAGCCTGCAGGAAATCGTCTACCATCCCGGAATCGTCTGGCTCAAGGTCAAGAACAATAAAAGCTTGAGGAGGATATCCAATCTTTCTAAGTTGCAACTCTTACTTGCGCAGGACTGCTCGGAATTGCAGCAGGCTGAGGAGCTTAGCTCGCTGAAAACCTTGTACATGGTCGACTGTCCAATGGAGCAAATGTTCTGGGATTGTTTCTCCAAGGAGCAACAGAGCATGATGACCCATGTAGTTGTTGGGATACGCGTGGGCTACGATAGCATAAATTAAAATTTTCTATCGCGTAAACCAGGAACCATGCAAGCATTAGATCATAGATCGTTACCACTCGACGCGCTGCACAGCGGAAGAAGACGCTGAGAAGTCGAAGGAACTATCGCGAAGTAGCGCGCATCGATGTAGAGGAAGTAGTCGATCGCACCGGCTCGACCTTCTCCTCCTCGTGCGTTCTCCTCGCCGTACTCCCACGCCGATCAGCACTGCAAACCAGTGGCGTCTCTACCGGTATCCACACGTACAGGGACGAAACGCCACGCGCAGATGTGCTAGCACCCGTGTGCGGCTAGGGTTTTGCTCGAGGACGGAAGTGACGGCTAGGGTTTCTCACGTGATGCAATGCCTCCGCCAGTCACGCCTCTCACGAATATATAGAATCCATTACTCGGGCCTCCAAGGCCCGTAGGACTCCTATTCGGATCCCTATCCGAATTAAGCTCATATTGGATCTCTATCCAATCCCCTTATTCTGGCCCATTAAGCGTGCGACCTTGTAGGTTCATATATACTCGGCTGTAACCCGAAAACTCCTTTTCGGTCCACGCGTCAACAGCGGCCCCTAGCAGAATGTATTGACCCACCGGGCATACATAAAGATCATATCGGCTGAACCTCTAGTGTATACTTGTATGAACCCCTTTGCCTCACGATATCGATTAAGCTCAAGGCTAGATATGTGCCATCCTCTAATAACTCAATCATTCACTCGAATCTGTTGATAGATTATATATCTTGTGATTGACTCCTCAATCACTTTTGGCATGGCCATACACTTCCATAATCTACAACATCGAGGGACCCAGAGATATCTCTCCATAGGAGGGGCAAATCCCATCTTGATTATTCATATCCCACTACATGTTTCATAGCATATCCGAATACTACTTTTATAGCTACCCATTTACGGAGTAGCGTTTAGCAGTCCCTAAGTAAGTTGCTACATATATTGAAAACCATGATAATCTCAGGTCTAAGGATTCAACACCAACACTAAATGAGATTACTGATGACACAACACATATGGCTCTTGCAGTGTCTCATGTTGGATCTATCCAACAACATGTTCACTAACATGTGTACACATTATTAATTTGGTATCTCTATACCATGATCCATGAGACATGATCATTAATTAATACATGTGCTGATCATATAAACATATTTGTTTCACATATGATATTTGATCAGGGATCCTTTAGAAATAGTAACAAACAACATAAAGAGTCTCATGAAAAAATTATATATTCATTAACCAATAAGGAGTTATCTATTTCAAGGAACAATATCGGATAAATATGTAAACATAGTATGTGATACAATCATCTCTATGATTGCCTCTAGGGCATATCACTAACAGTAGTCACCACTGAGGCATACGGTCAGGATATTTATCCTCTTGAATCAGTCTTTTCTTAAAAGGGACTGTACCACGAGCTATCTTCGGGAGAAAAAACATGCTAATACGTTCATGTCCCAATTCAATTTTTTTATTCTTAAACTTACAGTTTCTGCATAACCTGATTTGGCAAATACATTTGAAAAACTGTAGACACTCAAACCTGCTTTCTCCATCTTCCAACAAAAGTATGACCAAAGCTTGCCATTTTAACACCTTGATATTGTTGATTACCAAAACTTGTCACTCCCGTTATTCGTTAATGTATAAATTATAAAATGGTAGGAGTAAAATATTGTCGTTATAATTGCTCACTTTATACTATCGTTTCTCACCAATTATACATTCATTCTGTGCCTTGATTTATACTCCTTATTTGTTTGTACTGTTTGTTTATTATCCTTTGAAGTTTGAATTGCTAATAGGTGTTCTATATCCTCGGTACAGTTGAGAATATATCTGTTGGGTGAATTTCAGTATTGTGTCGATATTTGGATTGTTGATCCTGTTTTAAAGATATTTATGAAATACAATTTCATTGTCATTGTTATGAAACATACCCATACCATTTTATTAGAGGAAATCATTCAGCGGTAAAGTGCCCTAGAAACCAACACTTTTAGTTTATTTTGTAGATAAATGTACCTCTGAAATTCATGGTGGTATGAGTTATAAAACCTTAGTGGTGGTGCATTGGGTTTTAAACTCTAGCATTCTCACGAGTACCTTTCTTTCTCCTTATTAAAGAAAGGATACGCAGATCTCCTGCGTGTTAAAAAAAAGGAATTACTTGTGCAAATATGATAAACCTTGTAGCCTAGTGGTTACAAGAGCCTCAGTAGCACCTGAGGTCCTGGGTTCAACTCCCCATGGGAGCGAATTTTCTAGGATTTAATGGCGTTGTGCTTTCAGTGGTAGGTGCCGTACCTCTCGACAGCGAGACGCCTGTGGTGACTTCGTCAACTGCAAGTAGGGGAATAAGTTCATTATGACTCTCTGATTCGTATCCCTGAACCATGATACCGGATATTTCGACCCGCCCCCCAAACTATTAAACCGGTGGAATTTGACTCCCTCGATGGTTTTGGAGGTCGGTTTCACTGATATGGCGTCTATTTAGTGGTGTTGACTCGGTCTTCGTTCCATGTGGAGTCAACGTGATGCTTAGTGCATTAGAATTAAAAAACTGCGTCAACTCCATGTGGAATGAAGATCGAGTCAACACTGCCACTAGGCGCCACGTCAGCGAACCCGTCCTCCAAAACCACTTAGGATAGTTGATACCGGATATTTCGACCCACCCCCCAAACTATTAAACCGGTGGAATTTGACTCCCTCGATGGTTTTGGAGGTCGGTTTCACTGATATGGCGTCTATTTAGTGGTGTTGACTCGGTCTTCGTTCCATGTGGAGTCAACGTGATGCTTAGTGCATTAGAATTAAAAAACTGCGTCAACTCCATGTGGAATGAAGATCGAGTCAACACTGCCACTAGGCGCCACGTCAGCGAACCCGTCCTCCAAAACCACTTAGGATAGTTGGGGGGCGTCGAAATATCCGGTATTATGGTCCTGGGATACAAATCAACTTCAGTCACTGATTAAGGGATTCAAAGTGAACTTATTCCGCAAGTAGGAGAAATGAAGGGTCAAGAAGGGCCAGGATGGGCCCAAAGTGAAAATATGGGCCCTTATCTTTTACCATCTCATCTAATCTAACTGTAATTCACGTATAATCCTCTTTGAGCGTATATATCTATATCTATAACTAATATAAATATTCGTATTTTGCTGATCGTCACATCTAATTTTCGTCCATCTTTTGTCCATGCACAATCCGATTCGGTTAGCAATAGTCATGGAAAAAATTGCAAAAAAAAAAAAAAAAAAAAAATCGACGGCCGCCGATACCACCACCGCTGCCGGAGGGAGCCGCTGCCGCCTGATCCGCCCGCGGTCGCCATTGCCGCTGCCGGATCCGCACGCGGATGAAGCCGACGCCATCGCGGCCGTTGGGAGGGCGCCGTCACCGTCGAGGCCGACGGGGGGAGAGAGAGAGGGGGAGGGACGGTCGTCGCTGCCGTTTCCGCCGCACCCCGCCGTCGCTGCGCCAAGTCGGCGAGACGGGAAGGAGAGGGGGAGAGGGAGCGAGGCCGCCGCGGACGCCGTCGTCGCCGCCGTTGGGACGGCGCCGTCTCCGCCGAACCCCGCCGTTGCCGCACCGAGCCGGCGAGAAAGGAGGGAGATGGGAAGGGAAGCGGCGCCGGTGACGGGGGAAGCCGCCGGTTGGGAGGAGGGGGAAAGGGGGCGGCGCCGCCAGAGGGGAGGGGGAGGGGAAGCGGCGGCCCTCTAGCCTCCCTCCCGCGGCAGATCCGCCGTCGCGTCGCCGACGCCGCCTCTCCCCCCTACCCCCAGCCGGCCGTCTCCCCCGCCATCGGCGCCGCTTTCCTTCCCCCTCCCCTCCGGCGGCGCCGCCCCCTCCCCCTAGCCGCCTGCCTCCCCCGCCACCAGTCGCTGCCCGCGGTAGGGCAGGTATGCCGCCGCCTCGCCTCGGCCGCGAGATAGCCGGTCGCCGCCGCCGCCATTCGCCGACTCGCGGTGGGAGAGGGAGGAGAATGAGTTTGGGGGGGGGGGCGGGTGGGGAGGGTTAGGGTTAGGGTTAGGGTTAGGGTTTTGATAAGGCCGTGGGCCGATCGGAAGGAACGGAAATAAGTCTATTTTAGGTCCCTCGGGCCGGAAATAAGTCTATATTAGGTCCCTCGGGCCGAAAAAAAAAGAGAAGTTCATTTTTAGTGCTTCATTTCTTCATAAGCATTTACAATTATATTTATTGAATGTGTTTATTTCTAAGCAAACCTAACCGGAAGGATTTTCTTTCTTTTTCCAATTAAATAATTATTAAATGATGTTTGTATTATTAAAATTAGCAATTAAGTTCTGAAAATTCCAATAAAATTCCAAAGAGCGTAACTAATCATGGAGAATTTAATAAAATTAAATTTAACAATGTCATTTTATTTCTCACACTTGCTTTACTTGTAAATATATTTAATTATACACATACCTATTTAAAAATACCAAATATTTCAGTGAATTTGTATTTTAATTAATTGCATATTTTTTTGATCTGTGCGCTTCCCGGTGCAACGCACGGGCACTTTTGCTAGTGTGTGTGGCTATATATATATATATATATATATATATATATATATATATATATATATATATATATATATATATATATATATATATATATATATATGATATTCCTCCTCGTTTCCTCGAAGAAACCCTAACGGATCGATCTAGCCTCTCGCTGTTGCCCAGCCGAGAACATCATCCATGGCCGCCGTGGATCGCATCTCTGAACTCTCCGACGACCTACTCCTGCACATCCTCTCCTCCCTGCACACCAAGGACGCCGCCGCCACCACCGTCCTCTCACGCAGGTGGCGTCCCCTGTGGCGCCGGACCTGCGTCCTCAACCTCTACTCCGAACCCTTCCTCCCCACACACAATGCCTTCTTCCGCT